GTCACTTCAAGGGTTTTGATATTCTGATCAAATTTACCAAGGGCATGAAGATGACAAACTTTCACAAGAAAAGTTTTTTTTTATTGACACATATATATCTACTTAAAAATGAAAGTCTGTGGATTCCTCCAAACAACACAAACAACACAAAGATTACATCAGTTGTATTCTTTTTGGTGTATGGAAACATTTTTAACAATGACTCAACAACAACAACAACAACAAGACTCAGTCGGCAAGATTGCTCAAATGTCTGGACTGCAGAAAGGCCAGTTTATCACCTAGAGTCATGTTGTTGTCATACATCCAAAATGTGGTTTGACATTGTCTTGCTAAAATAAGAGGCCTTCTCTGAAAAAAGAAGTCTTCTATTTAGGACCATTTGAGCTCCAAACCTGTGGTTCAGCATTAATGGTGCCTTCAGAAATGTTCAGGTCACCCATTCCATTTTCATCACCGCTTGTGAAATATGTCGGCTACTGATATCAAGACAATAGGCCTTTAGCCCAGAGAACAGGGCATCCAAGTATTTTTACACATAAAGTCCAATTTTGGCTGGTCAGTACAGTTTTCCACTTCACCACAGTCCATTTTTTTTATTCTTGTTTGTGTACATTGTCCTCTTTGCATGGTAGAGTTTCAGCTAGGATTTGTGAATGCAGCAATTACCTGTGTTCACAGAAAATGGATTTTGGATGTGTTCCTGAGCCCATGCAGTGATACTCGTTCAAGAAGTTTGTGTGAATGTATCACTTCTATTTAAAATACATTGCCGGATAAGTTCCAAAATCTGTAACAAAATCAGGTCATGACCAGGTTTGGAGAGCAGAGAGAATTGCCCTAGTCGCCCAGAAAGCCATCACAAAAAAATATTATAAGTTGGCAGAAATGAAGGCTTGTTCCTGTTGGACGTTATAAAGGCCAAAATGTCTTTAATTTTCATGGTCAGTTTATTTTTCTGTAAAACCTTAACACCCACACAATTACACTTGAACATCTAGACATATAATACAAGACATTTAACCATCAGATGAATGAACACCCATATTCTCCCTAATTGCTTTTGAAAACATGTCGAGCAGCTGAGCAACACAGAGGTCGACAGCTCGCAGTGTTTTCCTCAGGGACTAAGTCAACAAGCACAGACAGTGACATGAAAGAGCTCACACACCTCTGCGGTTCTGCTCACTCACACGGACGACCGATTGATTAACTCATAAATCAACCTCATCCCAGGCCCCAGGCCCTGCCCCCCCCCCCCACCCCCCCCTATTAACCCAACAACAGCGGATAGTAGCTGTGGCCCAACCCTGCGCCCTCCAGCTAAGAAAGAGGAGGCAGGATCCAACTCATGGCAGAAACCCAGCAAGAGGGAGAGGCCAGGTGAGGCAGGTATAGTGGGTGCTATGGAGTTTTAAAAAAAAGAAAGAAAAAAAGGGTTAGGTCATGGAAACGACAGGTAAAGGATTAGTGTGTTTTTATAACGACAGGGAGGGATGGAGAAAGAAAACACAGAGGGGATATAAACGCGTTAAAAAGACAAAGGAGGAGATAGGCTGAGGCAAACACTGTGTAGTCCTGCCAAAAGTGAGAGAAACAAGGGGGAGACAGATATGGAGAGAAAGAGGGAGAGAAAACATAGAGGAATGCAGTAAATCCTTAAGCGACTGAACAATTCTCTGGAGGAAGAAAAGAGGAATTTTTATGTGCTGCAGGTGAGCAGAACAGAGGGAGGGAGAGGGAGAAGAGTAGGCAGGGAGAAGAAGAGCAAAGGAGATAGACAGATGGAAAAAAAGAGGGAGAGAACAAACGCGGGGGTGGCCGAGGGAATTTTAGGAAAGTGTAAAAGGGTTTGATTGTAGCAGGGAAAAGGGGACACATGGAGTGAAAATAAAGCAAGAAATTACACGAAATTACACAAAATGGCTACTCGTTCAGTCACAAAGGTTGGCGTTAAGATGGATATTATGAAGGAAGGCAGAAAAAAAGGCAGAAAAGTGTGACCAAAAGAATAGACAGCAATAGCGTACATGAAAAAGACAAATACAGAGAGGGAGAGGAGGTGTGTGAATGTGGAATTGTCTAATTGGTCAGTCGTAATAATATCAAACACAAGGTTACAGTTTTGAAAACCATGTCATTTTCTTTCTGGTTATAGACCACCTTTAATACACAATGTAGCATTTTTGGAATTTTATTAAAAATGTCCTTTTTAAAAAATATATAATTTCCTTGTAAGTTTATTTACTTTGAAGTATTGGTAGAACAAATTGTATTCTGAGTAGGTTACACACTGAGAAGTTAAAGACAATGGTAACGTTTAAAACATATGTAATGAAATGTTGTGAAAATAAAAACACGTAACAAAACATAAAATGTAAGATCAAACAAAACAGTGAACAACCAGCTGGAAATTAAATTACAGAAAAATGGACTGAAGATAGTTATTTGAAAGCAAGTTCAGCTTGTCTCCTTGATGTGAAACATTTTTATGTGCTGAAATAACCATTTTGATGCTCTATACTCACCATACAAATAAAGATCTATAATAACATTTAATAATTTCCAATTTCATTCTGAGAATTGGAGTCAGTTTGGTATCGATGAGCCCTTTAAATATGGTTGAACATCCAGAAGAATGTTGCAGAGCTGTAACAAAATAAAGTAAAAAATGTATCTGATATCAATTCAATGGAGTGCTCAACATGAGATTTTCATTTTTGCATACTAATGAAACAGCTCATGAATAGATGTATCTAACTTAACTTTGGAATTGGACTTTATTCACACAACTGCTCTCATCTTTATCAATAGAGTCTATCCACTCATGAAGTTCAACGCACAGGGCTAATCTCTGTATGATTCATTCTTTATATTCATTTGAGAATGAAATATCTTCAGAAAATAACCCATTCATTATTTAATTAATAATTTGTTTATTAATCTGATTTATAACTAAACAAAAAAAGGGAAATTTAAAAAAAGCATTGGGAACAGATTGGAAAGAGTAAGACTTTTAATATCCAATTTAAAAAAATTATCTTAAAACTTGCTTCAACTTAAAGTGTTTTTATGTTCCAGATATGTAAGTCTTTTTATGGTCCTGCAGATGATGGCTTGTCTGTATCATACACTGCCTCAGGATATTACCAATAATTTCAACCACTATTTGGCATTTCCCCTTTCCACTTCAGAATGATGGACTAATTAATGTTTCTCCTTTTAAACAAGCCCAATAAAATCATTTTGAATTTGCAGTTGTAACACAAAAACATATTTAGAGTTCAAAGGTAAATAACCATTGATTGACCATTGATGTAGATGTTGCTGTAAAGGACAAGTGTGAAACCTATGATGTAAAACGATATAGAAGCCCATAATAACATCATGTCATACTATTTAACATAATGTATAAAACAAGCTGACCTACACATCAACTCCTCTGTAGGTCATAAGTCTTAGATTGTGTCCCTCCAATCAGACAGACAAGCCTATAATGTCGATGTCTTGTCACTCACAGTATCTGTTTGCATTGAAGGACTCGGCAGCTGAGTCATACGGCGCAAGGCTCAGTTATTCTGTAACGTATTAGTTACAGCAATTTGTCTCTGCTTGGCTGACAGAGCGAGAACGAAAACAGTGAGTGATGGCTGTTAGATAGCTTTGCATGACAAGCCTCATTCCAACAAAGCTCTGACACATATACAGATAATGATTCACACACGTGCTGCACTCGCAAGCCCACACACGGCAAACAATATGCACACACACACAGATAAGCGCGCACAAACACACACACACACACACACACACACACACACACACACACACACACACACACACACACACACACACAGACATGGGCCGCACAAGGATGCCTTTGTTGACTCCTGGCAGCCACTCAGTTGCTGCTAGTGAATGTACAAAACTCACAGCTTCTTGAGTGTGTGTGCGTGTGTGTGTGTGTATATATTTATGTGTGCTTGTACAGAATACATATGTGTCAGGCCTTTGTCAGAGATAACCCTTTCCCCTCTCAGCAAGGTGTGCGGGTATGTGATGATGTGTAAGCGATGACACAATCGACCCTCCCTATAAGTCACTTCCTGCTCAGCTAATGCTGCTTTTAAGCTTCAAGTGTGCACTCATGTCGTCCACTTTGGTGTGACTGTGTGTGTTTGTGTGTGTGTGTGTGTGTGTGTGTGTGTGTGTGTGTGTGTACATGTGTGTTTCAAGGCAGGTGTGTGCTGTTGTTAGCAGGTGTGTACCTCGGAGGTGATGGAAGGGAGATTCTCACTGATCCTTTAATATCTGGCCTGAGGCGAGGAGAGAGAGCTGCTTACATGTGGGGAAAAGGGCATTAGAGAGCACTACAGCCAAACATGAAAAGAAAGGATGAAAAAATACAGGTGAGGAAGGGATAAAAGAGCAACTGTAGAAGACAAGGGATGTGGCACAAAAACCATACGAGGCCGAGGCGGTGACAGAGACAGGAAGAGCAGCCTTCATTGAAACACAGACACAACAAGAGAAAACCAGGAGGTTGGTGGGATTATGAGGGGTGTGTTTGTACCTGTGCCTGTTTGTGCTCATGTAAATCCCTCACTGTCACAGGTCAGAGGGATGTTTTAGGGGGAAGAGGAGCTTCGTGAGATAATGTGATGAGAAGAGAAAGAAAAGAAAGTGGGAGGAGGGACGAGAGAAAGATGAAAGGAAAGAAAGAGATCGTAAATTTTCACCCGGACAGACAAATAAAAACTCTCTCATACCCCGCCTCTGTCCCGCTCTATTTTTTGTCATGAATGTGAGCTGGCCTTTGTTTTCCAGAAAACGCCCCGACCCCAAACTCCTCTCCCCTTGTGCCAATCACCCGAAACCATCCCTATAAAACTCAAACCATTACAGACAAAAATCCCATATGCATCTCTTTTTTGTCTCTCCTCCCAATGGGCTCCCAAATGACCAGTTACACCAAGCTCTGTACAAAAGCAAGTATTTATTCTCTCATGAGTCACTATACAGTATTTTCACACTGGAGAAAAATAAATAAACATCTTGTTCAATAAATATTATAGAAATATGATCAAACCCCCTTAGCCCTATCATTCAAGGCCCAATACACAGAGAAAAACAATAGTTTGTTTCTGAAAAAGAAATTAAGCCGTCTATGAATTGCAAAAGGGGGAAAAGGCTTTGATTTCATGTTATGAACAGTATGAAAAAGTGAACTGAAGTTTAAATTGTGAGATATCTGCTTTTCTTTCCCTCTGACAGCTCGATGAAAAAGATGACTCAACAGAAGCTGCTAACATTATTATTTTGGTTGTGATATTTGATGAGTTACCAAACTTAATGCAAAGCTAATCTCACTGCTGATGGCTCCATCTTTACATTTAGTGTACAATAGCATTATCGCTGTCAGAGAGAAGAAAATGAACTCATGTTGAACTTATTTAATCATGAAATCGTTCAAAAGTGGAAAATATGAGCAGTGAAGTAAACGGTTTGTTAAGGCGCCAAAATATCACAATAACGGTGTGGGCGTGTGTCTGTCAGTATGTGTAGCCCTGTTGTTACTGAGTTACTGTAACTGACTGGTTGACTTCTGATTACTCAGCAGTACCCCTCTGCCCGCTATTCCCTGCACTCATCCCCTGACTCACGCCTGCTCCTCATCTTCCGCTCCTTTTCTGCCTTTTCCTCTCCTCTCCTCGACCTCATCCCTCCAGCTATTTCCTCAACGTCTTTTGTCTTTTGACCATTCAGAGAAGTCTGTCCTTCCTTTAGAGAAAATGAATGTTTGCTGATTCACACATCTGGGGTCACGGAATCAGCTTTCACTCAATAGCTACACTGTCTGTCGCTGTGCCTGTCATTCTCTCTGACCACGTGTGTGTCTATTGTGTGTGTGTGTGTGTGTGTGTGTGTGTGTGTGTGTGTGTGTCTAACCATCTACAGGGGTGTTTCTGTTGATCTATGAGCAGTGAAGTCCGGTAACTCGGCCCAGTCTGAATATCTTGCTGAATGAGCTGCTATGTGGCCCATTGTGTGTGTTATATTCCATTAACACTTCTGGTGACCTGCCAAATAGCCCTTCATTCATGTATTCCAGTAGAGTATGAATGAATGTGTTAACCATCCAAGTGCTTTTGTCAGTCAAAACACTACAATTATTTCATTTTACCGCACCCTCACAGCGGCCTTGTTCCTGTGACATCACACTCAGGGTGGGAAGTTAAAATGCTGTTATAGGGTAATAATGCAGTAAATCAGGTTGTCCAGAAACGTAGGATAGGCCTATATGACAATCCTTATCGCATCACTACTTCTCGCTAAATCAGCAAATGAAGATTGATTGTGAAAAATCAAAAATAAAGGGGGCACTGGTAACTAAGTGGTTAGTTTACGAACCCCTCTGGCTCCTTTCCTGCTTGTCATTCCCACCTCTTTCTGTCCTTGATTTCCAACTCTACCCATGGTCCTATTTCTACAATAAAGGCGTGAAAAGCCCAAAAACTAATCTTTAAAAAAAAAAAAAAAAAAAAAGAAACCAGTTAACACTTTTAGGCAAAACAAACACAAAATTGAAAACAAAATACTGTTTGACAAAAACTAAAGTTAGCATTCAGACACTTCATAGCCAACTAACAAGTGTCTGAATTATAACTCTAGCAACATGCTAGCTAAGAAATAAATTCCTTATCCCTTTACAGCATTATGTTAGCTAGGAAATACATTTCTAGCTAATATAACATAAGCTCGAAAATACATTTCCAGGCAACATATGGTAAGCTAGAAATGTATTTGACTTTGCATGGAGTTACACTAACAATGGAGTAGCACCCAGAGGCTATGTGCTAACTTAAAAGTTGTCCGACTATAGCTAATGGGTTTTGCTGTATTCACTTTAAATATGACCAGATTTTGCTCTGAAACTTTGGCATAGATTTGCTTGCTGTTCGATAGAAAAGCTGTTTAATAATAAAGATTTGTCAATTACAATTAACATAATGTGACTTACACACTGAAACACAAAAGTTTAACAATTTTACAATATTTGAGCTTCTGACAGCGAGCACTGCATCAGAGTCGATGGTTTCTCTCAGAATAAGGTAAATTGTGCGTTTCTGATACATTTTCAATATTTTGTCTTAACATGTCTGTTTGTTGTCTGTCAGCCTCGAAGTCTCTTCTTGAGGCGGTTAAAGTCTTTCGCCGACCGCCACAGCCAACTCTGCAGCTCTCGCAAAATCCAAAATCCTTCCACCTTTCTAGCAAAGTCGTTCATTGTTGGCCGCACCGACAGCAGTGAAGACGACGAGGAGGAGGTGGAGGAGGAAGATAGGAGTGGAGTCAGAGGAGGCGAAAGGAGGGAGGTGCCCCTTTGTAGAGATAGAGGGACGGGTTGGGAGAGGAGTGTGTGCTCCTCACTCGCTCCGAACTGGTAGAGGAGAGATAGGGTGGATAGTGGAGGATGAAGGGTGGGGGAGAGGAGGGAACGGGGAGGCCGACGCTGATGATGGAATGATGACAAGGAGGAGATAGCTTCCATTACTGTTTGCCGTTCTTCGTCCATTGTTAATTCTCTGCTTTTTTCCACAATAAATCCGTCTTCCTCTCTGATTGTGTCAAGATGGAGTGAGTTCAACTTATAGCTGTACTGATTGTTATTGTTGTTGTTTGTTTGGATGGGTGGCTGTCGAAGGAAAGTGGGGCCCTCTTTACCTTTAATAAAGACCTCTTCCCCTTGTTCAGTCAGCCTTTCCTTCTCCTGGTCATCCTCACTGATACTCAACAACCTTCTTCTCATACCAGATCTCTCCACCTCTCCCTCGTGCTCCAGGTCTTCCTCTTCTTCCTCACCGACTCTCTCTTCAGGCCATTTCCCTTTCTCAGGCGCCTCCCTCCTCACTCTGCTCCCTTTTTCTCCTTTTCCCTTCTCCCTCAAGCCGCCATTCCTTCCTCCTGCTGTTGCTCTCCTCCCCTCCTTCCCTCTCCTTTTTTCCATCAGGTCTACTCCATCCTCCCTCTCACCCCTGACCACCCTTTTCCCACTTCTTCTTTTGTTGTTTCGCTGACCGGACTCAGTCCTCGTCCCTGCTCTGGAACTGTAAAGGCTCTGGCTCATAAGTGGAGCTGGTGGGACACCCCCTATCCCCCTGTGACTGTACTGCAGCTGTCCAACGTTACTTCTGATGTTCACTGATGATGGGGGGAGCGAGTAACCAAGGGTGGTCATCAGTGCAGATATTGAGCCCAGCAGCCCATCCAGGCCTGTGCAGAAGTGCAGCAGGGAGGTCTTGAGGGAGGGGCAGAGGGTAGAACGGGCCAGTTCTCTGACAGCAGCCAGCAGAACAGAGTAGGCCTTCTGGTTCTGTGCGAGCCGGGCCTGGTTTTCAAGTCCGTGCCACAGCTCAAGGCGGGTCGCTGCACTTGGCAGGGACAGAGCTGTGCTGTTGGGACGTGGAGGAGAGAAGTCTTTCTCGTTGAATGGCGGGCCGAGGTAGGTCAGCTGGAGGAGTTAAATGAGAATGAAAAGATTAATTCTAGTTTATTATGAACAGTCATCATTTAGCCAATCCCTGAGTAACATTTTACACAGCTAAATGAAGGTTGTCAACCAAGAATCAGTCGATCAAACAGGTTGTAAACTATCAATTTTTTGTAAAGTATTTCACCACTTAATTGGGTGTTTGAACTGAAAGCCAGCAGTCATGTCTGAGGGAATCCAACAATACATGGGAAAACTCTGTGTCATCTAGTAGGCTAAAATAAAGCAAAGTTGAACTATGACCATGTAAACAATGACTTCGTAGTTTGACTTAGTTTGTTTTCTCTCCTGAATTGTGTTCTGTAATCTTTCTTGCCTTTTTCGATATCACCACTGTCCAGGAACTCAACATGGTGAGTACAGTGTTATCAGTAAAAATTAGAAAATGGCAAAACTAAATACTAAAATAATCAACAGGTTAGACTTAACCCTCTAGATGGTTGAGCACAACAATATTGACATTTCCTATCAGAATAAATTTAACTTTTGATGTTCTGGGCACAAAGGCAAGCTAGCGACATAGCTTATTTCCAGTCTTTTGATTACGTTCCCACTACAGCAGTTGAAGAGCAACATTATCGTACATTTGCTGTCATGTTTTTAGTGTAGTACAGAGTATTTGTCAGATCTCTTCACTGACAAAACCTGCCCGGTGACTGCTAGAGCTGAAAATGATAAAAGCCTAAACAATAAAGTTGTGTGCCTGTCAGCTGAAAGGAGATGAGAGATATCCTAAAACTCCAAGAAGGGAAGCTGCAAATTCAGGTCATGATAAGTTGCCTTTGACAATAGTTACAGCAGCTTTAATGGAAATTGATGGGATGTTTTTGGATTAAATTACTTTAGAAGAGAGCTCTTCTCCACCAAATGTTCTTGTTTATTATGTGAATGACAAATGTACTAATTAAACTTTATGCAAATAAATAAACAAATACAAGATATCCTTCTGAACGAACCGAAGTTACTCACATAAATGTCCTTGATTTCCTTCAGCTGATACTCCAGGTATTTGGTGAGCTCATACGTGCTTTCTATCGAGCTCCTCTCACTGGCCAGGTTGTGAGAAGGATCCAGAGCCGTTGCCATGGCAGCTGCCAACAGCAAGACGAGCTGGTGTTGATGGACTGGTGACAAAATAATCATTAACAAAGGTTAAAAGTAAGACAGACAGTGTGTGATGTTACTCTAAAAACATGCCCTTCATGGGTGTCCAGGTGATAATGAAAGCTCTCTGCAGAGATATTTACAATCATAACAGCGAGGTCAAATTTATCTCAGCCCTCATTTTCTCAGACATTTTGTCATTATTTAAACAAAGTGCTTGGTTTTGAAAGAATTTGACATTTTGAGAACTTAAAAAAACCCTCCTGCATAAGTTTCAAAGCTTTGCTCCTTTCTCATTCACATACTGTTCACCGTTAACAGGAATTTTTATAGCACTCTGGTTTATTTCTTTGTCTCTACGGTTATGGTCATATCTGATTACTTATTGTCAACCAACAGCCGTCAAACATTGTCGATAAAGTTTTCCCAATTCCAATCTAATTTTAGCAGTTTTCTTGCTGTCATATATTTACTATGGAATCAAATAAAACCTTTCTTAATAACCTCAGACACTCAGACTAATGGCTCCTATGTTCAATAATGCACCGGCTTGTCAGGCAAACAGCTGCTTACACACACACGCGCACACACACACACACACACACACACACACACACACACGTTCATTCCTGACTGATATCCCTAAAAACAAAGACATGTGTGTCTCTGCACAATCACAAACATTAATGCGTTTGAATCAGTCATATGTGGACTGGTTGTTTAGGTTTCACAGTGTTTGTGTGGGTGTTTTGTGTTACGGTGTGAGTGTTTGTGAGAATGTTTGTTACAGTTCTTGTAGATGTAAATTAATTTCACTTCCCTGTGGTGTGTACAATGACTTTGGGACTGTGTATTTGGGAGTATATGTGAGAGAAGGACAGAGAGAGAGGATGCAGTTCTAACAACCCTTTTAGTGCCTGTGTTTCTGGTTTCAAACTGAGAAAATTGGAGCTGAAAGATGGTTTTCAGTATTAAGGAACGTCATGTACATGCTTTTCTCTTCAGCCCATGCTTTCAGTCTATTTCACACTCTCTTCCTTTGCTTTTAATCTCTCCCAGCACTTCCTCCACCCTTCTCTAGACATTTCTTTTTACTTATCTGCCCTCCGTCATCCTTTTTTGATCCTCTTCATCATCCTTCTGACACCCACAGTTGGCAACAATGATTCACGCTTGTAAATATGGGCAAAACATACTGCTGTTCAACAGGTGGGGAATATGTATTGCACAATGTGTATCTCCGTGACAGCTTTCTCTCTTTCTCTGTCTTTTCCTGACTCACCTCCGGCATTCCAATTGCTTCAACAATTTAAATCCCCTTTAACAGGTCGCACCACACCAAACTTTCCTCTTCCCTCCCTCCCTCGGCTCGACTCTCTTATCTCTTTTCTGCCTCGGGTCAAAATAACAGCAGCCAATTAACCCCGATTAGCTCTCCTACTTTGCCTCTATTGCCTTTTTTTCTTTTTCTTTCATCTATTGACAGCGACGGGCCCCACAGGAGAAGTAATTTGAGCAAACCGCTTCAACACTTGCTAAATATTTATCTTCTGCATGTTTTCAGTGGTGCAAAGAAAACAAGTTCTGACTTAAAACAGTCAACACCTTTTTTTGAGTCAACTGCTTACATTTGACGTATTGTATACAATTCCACACAGGGTTTGGTAGCAACATAATGACATTAAATACTAAATACAACTAGATACAAGAGAAAGGTCTGCTTTGCAACTTAAAATAAGAATGTGCTATAGTTGCGGTGAGCAGGACATTTTGTGTTTACAAAAGGTGAGGAAAACATGGTTTCAGATGAGAAATGCGGAAAAATGTGACGGTTTCTTTTTTTCTTCAACTTTGCCCTCACCAGAAATGTGAAGATCAAACAAATCATCAAAATACATCCCAATGTTATGTTTCCCTTTTTTATTTTGAATCTGAACGATGACAGGACGAATAAATGTTACAATACAGCCTAATGAGCTCAAGCTTCCTTAAAACAACCTGTGCTCTACTTTTAATGACAGATTGAATGACAGATCTGGAAACTACCAGTTTCAAATTAAAGTATGCTCGTCAGGGATGATGTGAAAAAGAGTGACGTGGACAAAGATCGAACAAAAGCTCCCCAGATTCACCTCCTTTAGAACCTTTAACTCCTCCACCTAAGTTGTCGGCTAAATCAAAGCATCCTCACAGACTATTATCTAAAACACAGTGGTTTGGCTCGGTAACTCCCACACGCTCCCACACACACCTTGAAATCAGTCAACTAGGACAGCCCTGTCAGCAAAGCCTACTCCGATCTCCTCCACCGCAAAAGCCTCATCACTTGTCAGAAGCAATAAGCATCTTTCAGCGATGCCTGAACATTTGGAGCTCATCAAGCCACGGGCCCTTCCCATCAAACATCCTCCATTAGCATCAAAACAGCCTGCAATCAACGCAACATTGTTGACTCTGAGAGTAAACAGCCTTGAGGGGAAAGTGTGTAGTGTACATATAATAGTGTGCAAAAAAAAAGAATCCCATTAAGAGGAATAAATAGGTACCCAAAAAAGTCAGAGAAAGAAAGTTCGTCTTTGGCAAAAATCAACCCAAACTGTTTCAGAGTGTTTCCTTTTGTCTGCAGCCACATGCTCGGAGATGATTGCCAGACGTGAAAGTCTCCTGTTGTTTTGATTGAGCGCTGACATGTCTGAAAGCATCCTGCGTTGTGGCTTTAAAACAACTGCTCTTTAGTACGAGTAAACTGAGATAACTTATACCCAGAGCTGAGTTGTTGTTATATAATAATACATTGAGTAACCATGCTAAAGTCGGCATATAGACAAACTTCAAGGGGAGCCCTGCAGGCTTGTGGCTGTGTCTGTGTACCTGGCAGTGGAAGCACACTCCTCAGGGCAGGGTTGAAACCAGAACATTCTCAGTGGGAGGATTGCATTACAGCAACACAGGGGTTCCCTACATTGGCCGACCATGACCTGCCTCTGTGCACTTATGTGTGTGGAACTCTTTACATTTTGGCTCTCATACCTATTAGGGTTACACATGCACACACACGGGGGGGGGCTACATTATTCACAGCAGATCATATTTTTATCTACGCTTTATTCGCTCATGTAAAGTCAGATGGGGCACTGTGAGTCTGGCTGCCATCTGCAAATGTAGAACTGAGCTTAAAGATCAGGCGCCAGAGCCTCTGAGATACACTTAGAGCAAAACTTAGAATAAAACACCATCTCAGGGTCAGGGTTCAGGGTTGAATTTAACGGTGTTAGGTTCTGTTTCATGCTTCACATTTTACACTGCTGACTGTGTTTTGGTAAACCAGTGACCCAGTGTCTGTGGGCGATGTACCGCTTCCAATCCTAGAGGACTAATATTTCATCTTTCCCACCATATACCACCATTTGAGGTTTTAAACAAGCACTAAAACAGAATTTGGTATTGTGGGAAATCCATGTGCAAGTTATTCTCTACAGTCTGGTCCAGGAAAAACTAGCTCCATTGCCAAAAGAGGTTGCCCTCCATTGCTCAAACCACTTGAAAGACCTTAAACAGAAAGGAAACGTCAGTATGTAGAAGATGTTATAAATCCAGTCCAAATGAGATGTTTGTAATTTCCCAGCGCAACTTTGATTTAATGACCAAAGTGTATATTTGTTGCATACTTTTGGTTGTATTCATTGTTAAACTTTGATATAATTTTGCATTAATTAAGCTTGGTTTTAGGGGAAAATGTTTATTTGTGGTGAGCTTTTTCGGGAACCAGAGCTCACATTCTGAAGAACTCCCCTGTAACACCAGAGGACTATCACTGACAACAGAAAATAACAATGTCATGCTTTGGATGAGACTTTATAGACACATCTTTGGAATTCCTTTTGAATAGCATGCAAAAACGTATAAATCTAATTTAATTAAAATTTACATGATTTGTTTTGAAGTGTTTTATTCCTTATCTCGACTTCTTGAAAGATGTCTGATACAATCTGGAAGCACAGTTTTCGATTGGGGCGGCAACTTTGGCAATAACTCAGTTCAAAACATGAGTGCATTTCAAATCTGCTTAATATGCATAAAAAAAGAGAAAAGTAATTCAAGTATCTAGTTCAAGGTTCAAGTCACATCATTCAGGTTGTGTTTTTCTGCCACATTGCTGAAAATTTGTCCCCCGTCTGTCTTTTATGTGTCATAAGTTGCATCACAACTGCAACACACTTCTTGTGTTACATTTGATGTCACCTCAGATATCTCTGTTGGATGAAGAAGATATTTGGGTATATTTTAAAGCTTCACAAAAAAGGTCAGAAGTAAACCAGGGGTTAAAAAAATGGAACATATATGTACAGTAGGTTGCCGAGATCAAGAATGGAACTCAATGGGACCATTTTTATTATCATTAACTGTAAACTTTGTTAACAGATTATTTTCTTCTTGTCACATTACTCTCTCAGACTTGCTGCCGTCCTCCGACTTGTCTTCCTTGTTACTGTTACTGTCATTGCACTTATGTGTTGGAGATGTTCAGGCTCATTGAGGTAGACTTGATGACAGAAAAGGACCTATCAGAGTTAACCTCAGAGGAGTTTTTTTTTTTTTTTCGTTCACATTTTTGTTGTTGTTGTTGTTCTGTCCCTGAACTGTATCTGGTGACAGTTTTTCCATCTGTCATAACGCCTACACTAAACATAAACACACCTGTGCATAATGCCAGGGACACAAACATGCACACATCATCAGACAGATGTTATGGTTACTACAACAGTGGAAGTGGACAGAGACACACGCTGGACAGTCAGTGAGGTGAGTGAGGTTGAGGAAAGGGTGAGGGGTTTACAGTCAAGGGGTCAGGGTCAGTGTTGTGTGTCTGTGTACAGTTAAAAGGCCAGATTTATGTGCAATCTGCACTCAATCAAATGTGCATTCCTTCACTAACTCAACACACATACATGTGCACACACATCCAGATTGTGCAGTCGAGCGTAGACCCATGTATGCACAAACCTTATACTGAATAAATACTCATAAACAAACCAAAGGCACAAACACACACACACTTTTCCCATCACTCCTCCCATGAGATTCCCTTCTTCTGGAGTTTGTACAGAATTGATCCTCTTGGCAATGGACACACACCCGGGTTGCCAAACAACATCAATGACCCAAAAACAAAGGCAAAAGAAAACACACACAAAAAAAATCCAATAAAAACTGTGTTTATGCAAAGAAACTTTGTGTGTAGCTATTTCTTGCTAGTCGTAAACTCTATATCCTTTGTTTAGTTCCCCTTCATACACTCATGTCTGTCTCCCCTCTTCACCTTATAAAGCCAATCCATCCCTGTCTTTTTTTAAATCAGTGGATTCCAGTCGCTCCAGACTTTATCGCCATGTTTGGTTTCAATTTCTTTGTCTCTTAATCTGTCCCCCCTCTCTCCCTAAATCTTCCTGAAATGTCAAACTTCCATTTTAAAGTTTCCTTCCTTTTTCTCCCTAATTACCGCTCCCCTCTCTTCCTTTCACTAATTGGCTCCACTGGTTCCCCGCAACATCTTTCATTCCCTGCCCCCATTTTTTTCAGACCCTAAGCTTTTAATTTTCTTCTCAACACCACCCTCCATTTCAATGTCATTATTTTCTCTCTTAAAAAACACCATAATAATAATAATAATAATAATAATAGCTTAGATATATATAGAGCCTTTCAAGAAACCAAGGATGCTTTACAGTAGTAAAAAGGGGGGCAGGAATAGGAGAGACAGAAAAAAGAGAAAACAAATAGAAACACAAACAGAGAAAAAAATAACACAAAACAAACAAATGAAGAAAAGAAGAAGAAAAAGGAACTGAACTGAGGCAATAACGTGCTGCTGAATTGATCTGCTTTAAGAGAGAAAAAGTAGTGAAGTAAAGCGCTGACACCTTTGAGTTTTCCTCCTTCTGAGAATACTTTTTTTAAAGGATTAATTGTTGAGGCCAACAAAATATACATACTCTAGTTCATTTTTTCTCTAAAAAAATGGATTCTGTGAACCTCTTTGGTTTTGTTTGATAGTTAAAATATTTTTTCAAAGACATTAAGTTGAACAAATAAGTGATATGAAGACATAAGTTTGAGTTTTAAAAAAATCTTATTGGAAAAAATCTAATATTTATTCATGTTCTGACTCTCTAGACCAAAGTGTCACTAATCAATGGATTGTTATTTGCTGCCACAATGTAGGTTCTAATTTTAATTAGATTTTTTCTGTGTTTCTTTGTGTGTGTGAATGTTATGGTAGTACTTCTTCAAAGGATCTGATGAATGTAATCTAATAGCAACAAGAGCAAGTTATTCCTGCATAATAAGTACAAAATACTTTTTCTTAAATGACATTTTGAATGCAGAACTTTTTACGGTTAAAACATTTTTGCAATGTGGTATTACTACTGTGATGAATCTTAATCTGGATCTGAGATTGAGGAGCGATATTTCAGGGTCGTGAAGGATCAAGACATAGAGGAGGTGGAGGAGGAAGAGGGGATTTGAAAAGAAGAAGGGAGAGGAAAAGGAGTTGGTGGAGGGGAGAGAGCAGGGGAGAGTTTTCTAAAGCGAGGGGCCATGTTAATTTGGGAAAAATGTAAACAGCATGTGTAACTGTTCAAAGCGTGACCGACTCATTTTATATCATTCCCCCTTCCCTCTTTCTCTGTCTCTCTCTTTCCCTCTGGGTGCTGCTAACTTCTGTCAATCGTGAATCTGCACTGCATTAACCCCTCTACCACCAGTTTCTCTCTCGCTCTCTGTTTACTTTTATCTACCTCTACCTCTCTTTACTCGCTCACTCACCCCAACACACAACCCCCGCCTCTACACATCCTCCTGACATCCGTATATATATGTACCATGAAGAATTGAGGATGGCGCTGAGCAAATCAAAAGATGTGAAAGGTTCAATTTTTACTCTCTTTTACACTTCCCCTGCTCTCTCACTCCCCCTCTCTCTGTCCTTTACTCTTCCTTTGTTTCTTCCTATTGGCCTGTGTGTTTTAGCTCACTGGTCCAACACACACTAACGCTTTTATCTGAAACACACCGACACTAATTCAACCCTCCCAGCAATAACATGCCTTGTCTGTGTGTGTGTGTGTGTGTGTGTGTGTGTGTGTCTGTGTGTGTGTGTGTGCGTGTAGGTATGTGCGTGTATTGTGCCACCTTGTGTGCATGTGTATTTGCTGACTGAGAGACAGAGAGATACACAGAGAGAAGTGCAAAAGTAGGAAGAAACATGTTTGCATGATTGCATGTGTGTGAGTGGTCGTGATTTTGTGTCTACCTGAGGACCTCAATTTCACAGTCAGACAGTGTAGGCACCGACCATAATGGTGGTATAGTAATGTCAAAATGTGGGTATATAAGGTTAACTCCACAGTTAAGGTAAGGGAAAGTCATCAAGAAAATAATGGAAACATGACTTTGTGTGTTTATGTTCAAACACTATTTAACAGTCAATATTTTATAGCAGTGAATTATTTGAGTATCAGAGAGTTTGTCCTGCAATCAGATATTTTTATTGTCCTCATAAAGTTTTTTTAGCAGTTTGCTGATGGTCAGCCATGCTACATCATGTGAGTGACCATGAAATAAGCCTAGTGGGGAGGCTGACAGGAGGAGAGGAACTTGGTGATCTTTTGCCCGGCATATCATTTCTTCACACGGACCTCCTATGTTTGACTTTTTTCCCCCGTATTTCTTTCACCTCCTTTTCCTTCCTTTCCTGGACACAGAGCAGCAGCCGCAACAGGATTTCCCAGGGGGAAAAGTGTGTGTAGTGTGTGTCTACTTGAGTGTAAGTGCGTCTACTCACACCCTGACTAACGTGAATCATGTACTTTCTCATATCAGTGACAGCTAACTAGACAGGGGCTTTAGCTGCCTCTGACCCCCTCAAACCCCTGTCATTTTTTATGTGAATAAGAGCCCCCCCACACGCCCCTCTTTCTTTCTTTCTTTCACACACAGACACACACACTCACTTTTTTTGTCGCTCTCTTCTCGTGGCGTGTAAATTGCTGCCCTTCTTGCAATTTTCATAGAAACTCTAAAAAAACATGTCACCTATGTGTGATCCTTTTGAAAACGCTTAGGTCTGCTGATGTGCCACAACAAGTGTTGCTCCATCATACATCATTTGATGATAATAAATTATCAACACCATTCTTTTACACTAATTTGAATTTTTTTTTAAAACAGAAATAAATCCAATACATTCTTTACAATGTTACAAAACAAACTGAATGAAATGAGCTTTTGTGTTTCATTAGCTAAATGTTTTTTGATTTAGCAGTAACATTTAAAAAAACAATATTTACTTAAAATCAGACAGCATTCACATTAACATACTTGGACCAACTTTGAAGACTTCCCAACACAGCATATTAATTTTGATAATAATAATAATATCCTCATTATCAGAGCATCATGGGGGGGGGAGGGTGGGGGGGTATATAACTTCACTGCAAAAAAGGCTACACTTACCTCCGCAACTTTTCATTTTCTCCAAATTCTTTAATTCTGTTCAGTGCGCTCCCTCAATTTATCCACCGGTCGATTTATCAGCTGAAATAAACCGGTAATGTCTCCTCTCTCTCTCTCTCTCTCTCTCTCTCTCTCTCTCTCTCTAAAAAAATCGAAAACTTTCCATTGTGGCGGTCCAATTAAATCTACTCTGCTTCCCCAGCACAACTCTGGAGATAATGAAAGACAACGCAGGTGGTGACGCTTTTCACTCCTACTAATGGATGATTTTTTTTTTGGTTGACGGTAAATATATTATTTTGGAGAGGATGGAGCTTAAATATTGACGGTCCGCTGACTTGGTGCGTGTGGTCCGTGTGACAGACTGAATGACGGCGGAGCCTTTTTGTACCTCCTCCTCCTCCTCTCTTTCGACCCGTTTCTCCTTTTCCTCCCCTCCTTTCCATCCCGGGCTCTCCTTCTTTCGCCATCCTCCTCCTCAGTTGCTGATGATTCACCGAAATTGACGCATCGCAGCTCCGCTCTGACGGAGCCGCAGGACCACGGGACTTGTCACAACTCATATCTGTCTTTCTCCGCTTGTCATCCTCCTGAACGCAATCTGACTGCAGCCGTCTGATCTTTAATCTGTTTGCCTTTAATAAGGTGCGAGTCCGGCTGGATCAGACCACTGCAGGCCACGAGGAACCCGGCAACCCTGAGACCCACAAATGCTCCAGGAAACATGGAATTACACAAGTTCTCTCTCTCTCTCTCTCTCTCTCTCTCTCTATCTATCTCTTTCAGCCTGTGCAACTTTCCAGCAAAGTTTTATAAAAGCCACATATCTGCATTTATTTTTTCACTGAGATTTTATCATGCAGTGTCTTCTTTGAATAAAATAAGTCAGTTGAAAATTATTTGTATCATTGCTAATTATTTCCCCCTCATTATCAGCGGGCCTATACGGACACACGGGGCGATCTTATAAATAGAAATGTAATGCAAAACTTTTAAAATTTGACAAAAAAAAAAAGCCGAAAAGCAGGCTCTATCAAAGGACCTTCGTAAAAGTGAGATTTTATTGAGCAGTCTGTGACGTTTATATTTTTCGACAGTAATATAAGGACACCAGGGTCTATAAATTAGAGGCCTCTCGTAAACTGTTTCAAAGTTGCAACACATTTTATCAATGGACCACATTGGCCTAAACCTGTAGTCCCTGTTTTGGGAATATTCTGTCTGTTTTTCTTTCCATTTTAGGGTGAAGACAAGTGTGCGTCTGCTTCTCTGTGTTTTCCTCTGGCCTCAGTGCTACAGATTTAGTTTTTACTGGCAGATGGATTACGGTGATCTTCCTCACCTCAGGCTGTCACTCAATGGACTATTCTAACAGCAGTGCACGATAACGACCATGCATGTTTATGCGCATCAGAATGGATCCACTTAAGAATCTCTGCTGGTAGTGCCTACGGACATTGGCCTAAATTAATTTAAAAAAAATAAAAAAAATAATCTTACGCAGACTTCGGAGTATGGGCCTTTTGCTACTCTCACAAAGAAACCTTGATCTGTTTGCATCGCGTCCAGATTGAATAAAGGGGCCAAACTATAAGGAACGACGATGGCAGGGGCCCCTCAAGGCTAAACTGTGTGCCAACTGGTTTTGTCAGAATTAATTAGGATATTGTAGAGAGTATTTAACCAATAGGCTATATCGCAACATTACCCGATGAGAAAATGATTAAATAAATTGATGTCCTGTCTTAGGATAAACTAGTTCATCATTTTAATTTTATGATTTAACTTTGCTACACTGTCGGACTTTATATTTGTAAAAACTAGGGCAAGGGCTATCAAGGGGTTTCAGGTGGTAATATTTACAGTCTATGGGTAAAACCTAATAATTGTGCAACAAGGCCCCAAGGCAAGATACTTTGTTCATGAGTCTCCGGGTAGATTTCTCTTCCCACAGTCACGTCGAGTCTTCTCTTTATCAAATAACAAAACTAAATAACTGTTTTAATTAATCCGTTTCTTAGACTACATTATGATGTGAGCCACCACTGGTCAGCTCCCAGTTCTGTAGATGGTGGGCTACTGGACACACAGTGTTGGCCATGAAAGGGGAGATTAAAAAACAAGGATAAAAAAAAAGACAAGACAAGAAAGTTAGAAAACGTATCAGTGAAAAAGACTAGAACAGAAAAAACACCTGGTTTTATTTTATCAGATGTGTTGTGCGCCACCCAGTGGTGACAAGTTGCCACTGCAGCCTTGCCCGTCCGCGTGGACTCATGAAGTGTGTGTTTAAAAAAATAAATAAATAAAAGTCTCTGTTTTCTGACAGAAGTTGAACGTCTAGGGAGCTCCTGTACTTGCGCATATACGTCTATCCAAAAACAGCCAGGAGCGTTTGTGTTTTTACGTGTTCACAGTCCTTAAAATAAATCTTTCACCAAAACCGGAAGTAAATAAACACATCTCAGTTTCTTCCTGTGACGTAGTGCTAGCTCTCGATGCTACACGCGGGAAACAGGCGAAGCTGCACATTGACAGTAAGCCACGAAGTTTTTCTAATTCGATACTTTAGCTTGTTACGGCACATTTTTCTCCTCACTAAGGTTTCTTGCATGGGATTATAGTCTACCTGTGCGTGTATGTGTTGCTATTACGCGTACAAAATGTACTCTGAACATCACATAATTTCTTCTACACCGGCCTACCTCTGCTGGAGCGCTCGATTTGAGGTACACCGTGCGTTCTATCGGGGCGGTGCCGGTTGCGCGTGTTCGATATAGAAGTCCGGGCGTCGTCGGTCAGTAAAAGAAGCGCCGCTCAGTGTAGCCTAGCTATTGTGAACGGTGCAGCGCGGAAACAAAATGACTTTAATGTTGTATAATAGTGAGATATAACTATGTTTCTTAACCTTTAACAACAGCTGAACACCTGAAGGAATAACAGTCGACATGTAGTGCAGAAAATGACTTTTAAACAGTCGACGACATGAACTGTGTGCTATCTTTTGTTAGCTGTGAGCCCTGCGCGGTGCTTCCAAGTGGGGGGAGATTTCTGCTCAGAAATGCTTTAAATTACAGTGATAAATAACATAAATAACAGTGGTTCAATTGGAAAAAAAAACACTTTTATTCTGATCTGCGCCAGCACAGATGGTTTTTGGTTCTCGCATCATGACAGAACAAAAGGTCCATGTCTCCCTTTCATTCATCAGTCTGACTCAGTGTGAGAGTGTTTTCTACAAAGGTCGCCACAGAACTGACTAGTTGCTGAAATAAGCTGCGAAATCAATGAAAAAGATAGTTTTGTAGATTAATAGAATCCCATTCTAGGGATAGGGATACATTTCATGCTTGCCATAAGGTCTCTGAATGTGTCTATGTAACTTAAATGCACTTTTCTTCTGTTTCTTCAGAGACTTCAGAAGCTGAGATGGGAGACACACTGGAGTTCAACGAGATTTATCAGGAAGTCAAAGGCTCCTGGGTCAGTGTCCCCAATTAATGCCTCTTATGGGGGAAAGTTAAGCTGAAGCCTAGGTGTATATGTTCTGGTGTTTTATAGTTGTGCATCACACTGTATGTTAATAGTATTTAATTGCTAGTTTGTTCGAGGGCAACTGTTTATTTAAAATGTAAAATGATGTCAATATGTCTGTTAAGCAAGAGAGTAGAGGAAAATACAATCTGGATTATTCAAACTCCACTGCCTTGTAAGCGTGGTAGAGATAATTAATGCTGGAAATAAGTTGGTATACTACAGTGTTTCCCCTACCATTATATTAGGGGGGCGGCCCGGCCCCCGCCCCCCCTGAAGGTCAGGTTATTATTATTATTATTTGAATTTTAAGATTGATTTTTGGGCTTTTTGTGCCTTTATTGTAGGGATAGGATAGTGGATAGAGTCGGAAATCAGGGGAAGAAGTCATTTAAGGACACCTTTCAATAGAAAAGGACAGCTGTCATTAACAGTAACGCATGAACACCAAGTGTTTGTGTCGCCCCAACACTGTAAACCTAGGGGAAACACTGTATTATAAACAGGCTGCACTTTATTGTAAACTCTTTAAAGCCATGATACCAGTTCAGTACTGTGGTATTATTACGAGAATAAATGTTTTATAACAGTCTTGGTATTAAGATAAGGTGTAAAAGTTCTAGCTGTAAAATATTGAAATGTCATGTTGTGAAGTTTAAGCAAAAACAAATGATGTATGAGAGTTGATCTAATTCTAGAAATAGTGTGTACTCTAACTCCTAAAATGCAGAATTTGGGATTGGCGAGACAGCAGTTACTGCAACCCAATATCATAATTCATTAGCACACCCTAAAATGGATTTGTTTCTTCTTCACTAAAGTAGGGGCATACACAGAAAATATATATATTATGCCACTTGGAGCTAATGGTTTCCAAGAGGGGGGAAATACTGATTTTAGATAAGAAAAAGTAAAAAACAACAGAGCAGGGACACTGAGTGCTATCAGAAAGTGTCATGTCTGTTAAAGCCAGCAATACTGTATATTAGTATTAACTTTATTCCACCTATAATCTTTTTTTCCTGCTGGTATCAGAGAGAAGTACTCAGTATCAGCCAATACTCAAGACTACAAAACAGAATTAACATCAGGAAGACAAAAAATGAATCCGAACATTTCTGTTTAAACTAGACATGAATTTGCTGGGATTAACCGTATTGGTATTAACTGAGGCTGTCCAATATGATGGTGAAGGTTCACATTTATAGCAGTATTGAATTAATTACCCAGAAGTGGTTGAGTTCTACAGAAAGGTTGATACAGACAGAGGTTTTCGATTATCAGATTTAGAGTTAAACTATTATTCAGGACATAAACTTACAGTTATTATTAATATTATCTTTTCATCTGCCTAACGTGCTGTTAAGTAGTCTTCTAGTCTGTGAAATGTAAGGTTGAGGAAAATTACACCGGTCTAAGTTCTCTGCTTTAAATTGTTTGTTATGTCTGAAACCCAAACATTAGCTTAGTGTCATGACTCAGAAAACCAGTAAATGTTGAGTTGGAAAATACTGGAACAAGAGACAATTTCACCTCAAAAATGACTCGGTTGTTAAATGTTGTAAAGGCGTTGTAAAAATGTTGTCATAATTGATTACTGTGCCTGTTCTCAGCTTTCCTTTAAACAATCTTTAAAGGGAATTCAAGAACCTTTGTTTTAACACAAGCCCTGTACCTGCTTTGTCTTTCCAGAATGATGGACGGTTGCGTTTCAGCAAACAAAATGTGGTTTATAAGAGCAGCAAGACGGGGAAGGTGGACAGCATCCCAGCTGGTGAGCTCAACCATGCCCAGTGGAGACGAGTGTGTTTAGGTCACGGCATCAAGCTGAGCACCAGCACGGGACATGTTTACAAATATGACGGCTTCAGGGACACAGTAAGTGTAGCTTTTATGTTTTTGACATACAGTGCCTGCAGTGTCTGCTTGTTAATTTTTGTTCGTTTTGCAATCAAGCAGTGTTTTACAGTTTTTTTTAAGGTTCATAACTGAGCGGGCTCTAATTCTCACTCATGTTGTTCTCATTTTCATGTTGTCAAATGTCAATAGATTCCAAATTTTCCCCCTGGTTGTATTTTTCTGTTTCTGGGAAATGATTGTTACCTTCCTCAGAGGAGAACAAGGCAACAGTGGAATATTACAGACGGTCACACACTGCTGTGTTTATATCAAGTAATGTGAAGAAACAAAACAGGGCCACCACAGATGACCAACCTCCATCATATATCAAACATTGACACAGAATTAAACACTATCATCTTGAGAAAAGGCCACCACTTGAGTGTGTGTGTGTGTGTGTGTGTGTGTGTGTTGCTAACAAAAGTATGTGAATGAGTCGGCTCTTCTCTCCAGAGCTCCTAATGGGATTAATGAGGGAAACCAGCGCTAGCATGTGTGTTCCATAAACAGTGTAATCATCGGCTCATGTGAGTCAGTGTTTATGTCAATCCACTGAAACAATTTGGCTCAGAGGACAGACAAGGAAAAAAAATTGCGGTTGTGTTTGTTTTTTATCACTGTATTTCACTGTACTCTGAGTGTACGGGGATTGTCAGCACACAAGTTAAAAACTGGGGTGGAGGAGCGGGTAAAACCTGGAGTCTGAGTGGCTGCGTCTCCTGGGGTTAATCAGCATATTTTTTTTGGAGGGGGGGGGGGGGAGAGAGAGATGGATCCTCTTTTCTCAGAGCGTAGGGTGTGATGTCATTGTTTATGGTCCCACAGCCAGCGTCAGTAATCGGAAGTTGGCGGAAGGTTTAGCTGCTGGCGAGCCGTACAGAAGCTTTGATGCATCTGTCCCAATAAAGTGTCTTTGAGCAAGATGTTGACCCTTTGCCAGAGAGTCGGATTTGTTGCTGACCTGTAACTGTCAGCTGGAGGAGCAGGGGGTGAAGAGGCATTCATGTTACTTCTTTTCATGCCTAGTTTTACAGTCACTGACATTTTATTTTCTTTCTTGCTTATTCTGGTCACCAGCCGATCTATTCTGTTAATGTATTGTCTGCATTGCATTTTCACATGCTAGAATGACTCAAACAGCCATTATTAACACCCTTTAGCCCGAGGTTTTCAATGTAACTCATCAGGATGTAAAGATTAATCGTAAATCGTGATAGATTGATTCAAAGGTGTGAAGATTCACATCGGTACTCTGAAAATAGAATTGCAATAATATCGTGAGCGTCAGCAGCTGTAGAGCAGAGGCGGTTGGCAGAGCACATTTTGAAATTGGGGACACACCACCGTCTTTGATATTGGAGGTGTGGAAGCACCTCAAGCACTGTGGCAAAACAAAGCTTAACTAGAGAGAATCGCCACCACAGGGTAGCATGTGACGCAGGAGTAAAAGGTCATCTTGTTATGTTGTTAGGTGCCAGAATAGAAGGAGTAATAACAGTTACGTCTCAAAATGGAAATTCTACCATATACCAGCAGCCACTGCCCGTCAACAACATGTAACATGCTGCTTACTCCTTATAATAGCTCACATAGCAAGTGTGACTAATTATCATATTTTAAACTGCAGACTGAATGATGTTGAGAGAGCTGGTTTGCTCGTATATCTGCGTGTGTGTGTGGAGGGATGGTGGGGGGCCTGTGTTTATTATGATTAAATGAGCTAAACAGAAAATCTGCCAAAGCTGTAATGAGGAGGTGGGAAACACTCACCAGCAGGCCTGATGAGGACACAGGGAATGAACACACACACACACATATTCACTCTCTCAGACTTTCGCACACTGTTTTGTTTTGTTACAAATTAACACAAACAGGCACTTCAGCATATTTTTTATGAATTCTCACATCTGGTCACACATGCTTTCCTATCTAAATCACATCTTAATCCAGGCTCACAAACATCCTAATGAACTGTATTGAAAACACACACACACGCTCGCACACTTTTGCACACACTAGCTCTGCGCTCTAATTGGCTGTAATAACCTTATGGACAGGCAGATATCCAGGTGCCTAAACTCTCTTTCCCACAGAATCTCATTCTTTAGTCTGCACACATACACACTGCAATTACTTCCACATGTGTATGTATGTGTGTGTTCTACTAAGACACCGCCTGTGTGTGTGTGTGTGTGTGATTAAGCATGTGTTTGTTGCTGTGTGTGAGTGTGTGTCCTCTCCAGTTTTAAGCAGGCCTGCAGGATAAATAAACAGGCTGATTGTCAGTGGCGGTGTGGAGGGGAAGAGGATAGACAGGACGGATGGATTACATTCACCTCCAGTGTTCCCAAGTGGCCTCAGCGGCGGGCGCGGCTATAATTGCTTTGTGATTAATTAGCCCTCCATCCCCTCACTCCTTTTTTGAGGCTGTTTGTCTTGGTTTTGACCCATGTAGTGACAGTGTAATACTGCCTTAGTTACTTAAAACCTTTCCCCTTTTAAATTTTTCATTTTTCTTTCTTTTCATCCGTTCCTCTCCTGTCAACTTAATTTTCTGCTTTACCTTGTGCCCCCAGACACCTCTAACTCTCGGTTCTCGCTGCTACCTTTTTTCCATCAGGACTTTGAGAAGATTTCCGAGTTTTTTAAGACTAACTACAAGGTGGAGCTGACGGAGAAAGACATGTGTGTAAAAGGATGGAACTGGGGAACAGCAAAGTTCTCAGGTAAAAACAAACAAAGCATACTCAACAATTTGATCAATAATTATTCTCTCACATAAAGATTTTTAGAGCGGTGTGAAAATAAGCTCCTGCAATGTCATATCAGTTATTTCTCAAAAAATGTATTTTTATCCACCAGGACTTCGTTCTCTTTTAGAAACAACAAAGGATGATTTACCACTGACACCAGTTTTTCTCTCTCTTTCTTCCTCTGCAGGGCCGCTGTTATCATTTGACGTGAATGACAATTCAGCATTTGAGATCCCGCTGGCCAACGTATCCCAGTGCGCCACGGGGAAGAACGAAGTCACTCTGGAGTTTCACCAGAATGACGACACGGAGGTCTCCCTTATGGAGGTCCGATTCTACGTCCCACCCAGCCAGTCTGATGAAAGGCAAGACCCTGTTGAGGTAAAGAAGGACGGCCTTCATCCTTTTCTAGAAGTGTTTCTCTCAGTTTTTAAATCTCCTTTGATTCAGATTCAGACAACTTTATCAATCCCAGAAGGGGAATTCAGTTTCACAGCCTACTAAGTCATTTGAAAGAAGATATTTGTGTATGTGTTTGCTGCAGGCATTTGCCCAGAGTGTGTTGTCTAAGGCTGATGTCATCCAGGCAACAGGAGATGCTGTGTGTATCTTCAAAGAGCTGCAGTGTCTCACACCCAGAGGAAGGTAAAAGATCCACACAAAGCAAAGTCATTCCCAGATTTTTTCATTTAAATATTATTCTTTCAAGCTTCCACTAACCCTGAAATGTTTGTAGCATGTTTCAATAGAAGCCACATTGGCCGCTTGTCTTGGCTACTCTCTTATCTATCTTTGTTTCTTCACACAGATATGATATCCGTATATATCCGACTTTCCTTCACCTCCATGGTAAGACTTCGACTACAAGATTCCCTACACCACCGTCCTCCGTCTATTCTTGCTACCACACAAGGATCAGAGGCAGATGTTCTTTGTTGTAAGTGGACTTTTTTTTTGTACCCTGGATAAGCATGTTCCCTGCTGTTTCTCCTGATCCTTCTCACACCCTTTTATACTGTTCTTTTCTTTTTGTAATGTTTTTATAGATCAGTCTGGATCCTCCGATCAAGCAGGGTCAAACGCGTTATCACTTTCTCATCCTGCTCTTCTCCAAGGAAGAGGACCTCAGCCTCACCCTCAACATGAGCGAGTGAGTTTTTGAGAGTGAAAGACAGCAGGATTTTATGGGCTGCAAGTAGAGCTATAGTTGTGGTAAACCATCTTTATGTTAGGAAAAACTTTATGTATTGAAGATGCTCTTTCTGGTGTTGTGAAGCGTGAGTCCACTAGAGAGAGCCAGAGGCCTGAAGGTGTTATGTCTCTGTGTTATCGTTTGAGAGTGGAGCCTCTTCTCTACTTTCTATTGCTTCTTATAAACCCCAGAAAGCGCTCAAGGTGTGACTCTTTAAGATAATGAACCTGTCCTGTCCTATGTGTGTCCATCAGAGAGGACGTGGAGCGCCGCTATGAGGGCAAACTGAGTAAAAACATGTCTGGATCTCTGTATGAAATGGTTAGCAGAGTGATGAAGGCTCTCGTCAACCGAAAGATCACTGTGCCCGGAAACTTCCAGGGGTAATCATCCAGTAGAAGCATTGAAAACACATTTCTCTGTATGTTATTTATATATCTATATCATATCTTGTTAAAAATGCCACATTTCTTCAGTCATTCTGGGGCTCAGTGCATCACCTGCTCCTACAAGGCGTCCTCAGGCCTCCTCTACCCCCTGGAGAGGGGCTTCATCTATGTCCACAAGCCCCCGGTCCACCTGCGCTTCGAGGAGATCTCCTGTGTCAACTTTGCTCGAGGCACCACAACAACGCGATCCTTTGACTTTGAGATCGAGACAAAGCAAGGAAATCAGTACACTTTCAGCAGCATTGAGAGGTGAGAGACAAACTCTGTTTTAAGCACACGGACATCCCGTATTCTATCAAGGTGATTAAATATATCGGTATTTATTAAATAGAAACACGTTTATTCATACTCTCATTCACATTAATCTATTAATCCTTTTTAAACATTATTTTAATTTGAAAATTTAAAAAATGTGACCTGTGGAAAACTAAATAGAACCTGACCACATGGCAGACATTGATCAGACTCAGTATCCTTCTTTAATATACCAGAAATGTCTGTACACTCAAATAGTTTTTTTTGGGTCCAAATGGCCAAAACTTTTTAAGGCATTAAAATCCTTAGTGTGAATAATTTCGCTGGCTAAAACATTTTGACTTGAAGTGTATGTCATTGCGACCTATCCTAAGGCGGAACCATGGGGCGAACAACTACCCCACAAACTGACCCAACATACCACAACAGTCCCCTCTCCCAAAGCCTCTCCTTTCAGAAGTTAGCACAGAGCTCCTGATTGACAAATCTGTAAATCTGTAGATCTGGGAAGACACAACAGAGAGGGGAGAAAGGCACAAACGGAACATAAAACAAACAGCAGTGTCAAAAGTAAGAATGAGTCCCGCCCCCACGTTTGGATTTCAACATTTGGTTTTAACTGTAACAAAAATCCAAAGAATTGTGTTATTCTTTTATGCATAGCTGCATTCATTTTGCAGACTTTACTCGGCACAGCTGAGCCAAACTTGAAAGCAGACAAACAGTAAATGTGTCACCCAATGTAACTGAGAATAAGAACAATAACCATCGTTGTCAGGCCAAAGCCCCGTGCAGGTACCTGCAGATTGATCTGTTATTAAACTTTTTACTTAAACAGTTTTAAGTGTAGGCAAAGATATGAATTGAAATGTTCATAGTGAAACATAAATGAGATGGCTCATCTTTCTCATCTCTCTGTACTATCTATCCTTTACTTTATAACCCTGGCATTCTGCTTTCCTCTTAGGGAAGAGTACGGCAAACTGTTTGACTTTGTTAACGCCAAGAAGCTCAACATCAAGAACAGAGGATTCAAAGAGGTAAGTGTTTTGTCATTAAAACCCCCTCCAGTGAGTAGAAGAAGATTCATGATACGAGTTCTGTAAAACTGCCATCAGAGATATTGATGCTTGTTGCCCTTCTTCTGTGTGTCTGTCCGTGTACCCTGTAGAAGAAGGTGGGTATGGTAACGGGCGTCATGTGTGGACAAGGCTCTTTTATTTGTGTGAAGTGATCTCTGCTTGCATGGTATGCTGCTGCGTGCGTGTGTGGGTGTGTGTGTGTGTAACTCAGGACTGGATGTTGGATGTTACCGATACAGATGGTTTTGAATCTGATCAAATCTGGGTGATTTATGCCTAATCATGGTGTTGAAAGAGTGTGGGACTGTAATAACTGAGTGTTTAGGCGTGTGTGGGGTTTGTTTGCATCGTGCTGGCTAATGTGTGGCCTTGGGGCTTTTGGTGTGCTTTAACACTTGACACAGCTGTCATCATGACCACTGCCTGAACTCAGTCAGTGCTGATTACTCTCTATGCTGTCTGTTGACACGTACAACTTCCTGGTCTGTGTGACAACAATGTCTGAGCAACCAAATCAGTCTTTACTGGTAAATTGGCCATCTGTTGCCATGGTGATATGTTCAGCAGAGTAGGTCAATCAAAATGAATGGGCCTGCTCTCCATTTTCTGTTTGTGTTGGAAAGCTTTAATGATTGGTCGTACTGTATATCCTGTGGCATACACAGGTACTGATGCATGGAGATTGGAAATAGAGGTGGGATTTAATAAGAAAAGACTTGATTTCACACTACAATACAATACAACCAGCCTAAACAGGTCCAGGATGTTGCGCTGAACGGGAAACAAGTGAAGACAAAGACCTCAAGCCTCATCCAAGAACGACTTGTGACAACCAACTTGTTCTGAAGTGACACTTTTATTTTTTACTTTGGGGAGCTGGTAGCTTTAAGTAATCTTTTTGTTGCTGCATTATTCTATTTATCAAAGCTCACATAACGACACCTTCATGGGAACATCAGACCCCTTTCATCACGCGGCTATTTACAAATCATAGTTCCAGTTAAACTTTTGGACAATAAGTGAAAGGTTGATCTAAAACTGGCTTCAAGAGCAGTACTTAAAATACAAAGCATTGTGTTTATTTAATTTAATTGCTGCAGAAAAAAGACAGGTCTGAACACTGTTCAGCTCCCAATGGCAATTTTACTTAGACAGAGCAACGTTTTGATCCTGAAGAGCATTTTTTGAAATAACTTTTTCTTACATTGTGATGTCTAATGATTAATCATTATTAAAGTAATGGTTGATTGCAGGTGATGGAATAGATCCATATGTCAGTGCTGTATTTTGACAGAGCAATTTACTTTCAGGGCATGAAGGGTAAAATTGACGAGTACAGTGACTCAGACGAAGACCAGCATGACGCCTACCTGGAGAGGATGAAGGCTGAGGGCAAGATCAGAGAGGAGGGCAATGACAGCAATGATTCAGAGGGTGAAAGCGGTGAGTAAGAGTCCCCGTTACACAGAGGTAGATCAAACATGTTGAGTTTAAGATATACAATGATTTGATCTGGTGCTTCTCTGTCCCTCTTTTCTCTATAGATGAGTCGTTTAACCCCGGAGAAGAAGATGATGACATTGCAGAAGAGTGAGTGACTTTTCCCTTTAATTTCAATATTTATTACTCCAAGAACAGAATGTTAGTTTCATCAGCTTTTCTTCCTTTCATCTTTGCCTCTTTCTTTAAGCTTACAAAACTCGTCTTGTTTCCTTATCTGTGTCTCCATCAGGTACGACAGCAACGCTTCCGCAAGTGACAGCAGTGATGAAGGGGACGACAGTGAGGAAGATGGCGCAAAGAAGAAGGTCAAAAAAGTCAAGGTTGTGAAGGAGAAAAAAGAGAGGAAACCACGCAGAGAGGTAGAGAACAGTTGGGGATGGGGGAAACATGAGAAAAATATTTGAGACATTGATCAAATGTATCTGACTATTTCCGTCCTCTGTTCACTGAGCGTAGAAGAAGAAGAAAGAAACCGGTGGCCCTAAAAGACCGATGAGTGCCTACATGCTGTGGCTCAACTCCAGTCGTGAGAGAATCAAGTCTGAGAACCCGGGAATCTCCATCACTGAGATTTCCAAGAAGGCCGGAGAAATGTGGAGACAAATTGGCAAAGAAGATAAGGAGGTGAGATATTAAATATGTCTTTATTAATGAATTTACTTTAGTTATTGACCTTTGCTCTCACAACACTAGATATTTCACTTTGAAAGTTTGCATTTTACATTTAGGTTTTCTATGAGACTGAGACTCTGACATATTGGGAACTTTGTGTTTAATGACTAATGATTTAAAAGCAGCAAGAGTCAGTGCTGTTCACATAATCATAATGTGAAAATGTAAATCTATTGAAGATGCATTAAGACTGAAGTTAACATTTCAAATTCAAACTCTACTTCAGAAAATTTTAAGAGCTTTCCGTTTTGGTCACCTTGATTAATTATGATATTTCTTAAATAAGTCCAGTTATCTTAAGTTGTATGCAAAGCTTTATTCGTATAATTTTTCTATGGCATGCTCCCAAAATGAACGTGTCTGCATTCATTAAAAGAGTGAATCCTATAAACGAGCTGTTACTGTCAGACCTGTGCGCTTGTTCTTTTTTCCTGTGTTCACATTTTAAGAATATATCTGGAGTATTTTGGTCATTGTTGGAAACATTGAGTACCTGGAATTTAAACTTTTAAAGTCAGAAAAAAGACTGGAAAATGCATTTGTTTTTTGATTGAGTTTTTTTCTCCAACCCCCATCTCTTTTGAAAGATGTTAAACATGAGCCATGAACATGAACAAGAAATGAGCTTAAGCTTCATCTAAAGTAGTGTGAAGAATGTGTCTTTATCCATGATGCTTTGTTTAATCATCCGTGTTCTCTCTTTAGGAGTGGGAAGGCAAGGCTGGAGAGGCCAAGAGGCAGTACGACAAAGCAAAGAAAGAGTATTTAGAGAGCGGCGGCGGCGGCAGTGGAGCAACCCCCTCTTCAAAGAAGTAAGATGTCAAAAACTGAAACTGATGTTTGGATTCTTGTCACAACAAGTCAAAAACCTTTTTTTCTTCTTCTCACCCTTTAGGGAGAGTAGAAAGTCTGGAGGCAAGAAGAAGGAGGAGAAGAAGAGGAAATCTTCTGGGGGAGATAAGGACAAGGACAAGGAGCGGGGAGGAGGAGGAGGAGGAGGCGGAGGAGGAGGAGGAGGCAACGACAGCTTCAAGAGTAAAGAGTTTATCGAGACCAGCGAGAGTTCATCAGACTCTGACCGCAAGAGCAAGTCCAAGAGGAAGAAGGTAAAGCCAGTAATGATATCAGACAGATAATGGTTCCTGCACAAAGAACTATTATGAGATTGATCCTCATGTACTTGTCCTTTGTTGCACCACAACATTCAGACATCACTCGCTTCAGTCAGCCACTTTGATAGATGTGTATCAATTTAATAGCATCATATATGCATTAAAGTATAACCACTTTTAGTGATATGGTTAACATGGAGTAGTCTTCTGGTACTGGACAATTAGACCAAACACACACAGAGTGTGATGCAGCTGTGTTGGCAGTTCTAATTTATTCTCTCTAGAATAATCAACTGTCAATTTTTGCTAGAAAAAGAACCAAACGTATTTGTGTGATTTAAAACAAACAGATTAAAAGCTGCTCATGGTCCAGGGTTTTTATACCAAACTGTGTTATATCTAAATGCATCTGGATGTCTAAATTGCCTTAATTGTACATTTGAGCAGTCAAGAGGCAGACAGGAAATGGAGGGGAGAGAGGAGAATATGATGTGCAACAAAGGTCGCCGTCCTAAATGGAATTTGCAGCATTGTGGCTCTGCTGCATGCTCTTTGCTTACCAAGGCACTCCAAGAGAGGACTTGTGAAACAGTTTTATCTGAGCTGAAGTTGATAGTATCCTCTTTTTGTGTTCATCAGGAACGTTTTTACGCAGACATGCATTCATTTAAAAACATGTAGACTTCAAGTTCTTGTGTTTCTGTTCTATTTTAGCTCTGCAGAATTCCTACAGCTGTAGCTTCATGTACCTGCAGCCAGTGTTCAAAGGCTTTGTTTTTTTATGACATCATTGGACTAACTTCAGTTTGGTTTATATATAATCAAACATAATACAGAATGATTGTTGTTGATTGACAGACAGACAGACAGTCACCATGGTTACTCACTCTCACCTGCCTGCTGCACACAATGGCCCTCACTTGCATTGCAGCGAGTCTGTCTGTGTTGGAGAATAATTAGATCATACTATAAAAGTGCTTGTTAAGAAGGATAGAGGTTCACAGATTTACTGTTAGATAAGACATGGCATCTAAAATTTATTTTATATTACGCTCCACCTCAAACGATCAATTTACTTTACAGATTAAAGATTAGAGAGGCTGCTTTTGGTAATTACGTGCTAAACGTTCAGCGCACAGGAATATCGCTGCAGAAAATACTGAGACAAATTAAAACAGAAAAACTAAAAACAGTTAATTTAAAATGACAGAATAACTTCCAGAGGATACTAAATACAACTTTTAACCTCTGAAATATTAAATATTTAAGAATACAGAACATCAACATTAGATCACAACTAATCGGTATGTCCGGAGATTTTTAAATAATAAATACGCTGACGTGCCACATGCACACATAGGACAGACTTCATGTGACATAATAACAAATAAAGAAATCCCGGGGCTGTAAGACGGAGTCAGGACCTTCTTGTGTTAAATTTTTATGTTTGGAAAGAAAGCTAATCGGATGAGAAGTGAACATTACACAGCGTTTGGTCAAAAAATTATAAGAAATTATAAAAATTTGATTACATTATAGCCTAGATTATGTACGTTACATATCACAGATGTTTAAATGAATTATTGGTTCGGTTATCCACACCATCGCTGTTGAGATTTCATGCAGGCATATTTCTTCTGACGCGCTTTAATCCTACATTTCAGGCTGCCAGACAACACAGTGTTATTCCTCTTTACTTTTATCTCTTATGGTGTCACTCATGTCTCCATGCCGTAAACTCTGGGGGTGAGGACAGCTGAGCCGTGAATAAATAGGGGTGAGGTATTTAAATGACCATCGTTTCCAGCCGCCACACTCATCAACACCCAGTCATGCGTACGCTGAGATCAGCCAAATACGCACATTTCATAGGTCCCACGTGGACCCTGTACTGCAATGATTTCTACACCCATATCTGCGCTGGTTTCTACACCAGATTGATGTAAAAGTAACTGTGCAAACTATGCAGATAAGTTAACTGTTGCTCATGCCGTGTCGGTTTGGAAAAATATCACAACAGTTGCATATAACCTGGATGGAGTTGTTTTTGCGGACTTGAGTTTCGTTTTCGTTTTCTCCGCTGCGGGGGAAACTGCAGCATGATAGAATAAACACATAAGCCCGGTTCTACGATACCTCTGCTTTGGCACATCGTCGATCATCGAGAGAGAGAGAGAGAGAAAGAGAGAGAGAAACATGTTAGTACATTAAGGGTCTGATTTACAAAGATCCCTATTAAAGAGTAATAAATTGCGTGTTCACTCCAAATAATTGCACGTTTGGTTGATGGGCGTTTTGCAGAAAATTAGCTTGACTGACAACAGGTGCAAACCTTGTGGAGGCCGTAGTATTTAAGTTAGGTTTTTGCGTATTATACTGGTTTATGTCACGGAGAGTTTGGACAGAAAGCAGGATGACTGCAAGCGCAGAATAGGTATTAGTGGAAGAGGCAATCCAACTTTATTTATAGAGCACATTTAAAAACAACAGAGTTGACCAAAGGACTTTACATCAAATGAAATGACAATAGACAATCTTATCTTAACTGTTGTCGTTTTAACACTGAGGATCTAAGTACAGCCTCGTGAAACAGAAAATTGTGTCTTTGTTAACATTCAAACACCCTTTTTACCCTCTTGTTTTTTCATTTTTTAGAAGGAATCTGATGATGAGGAGGAGGAGGCTGCATCCACACCTGCCAGCTCAGAGGAAGAGTCAGACTAAACACACACTGCTACACATGTACACACAAACACCAAGGACCAAGCATTCATACAATCTGTGTTGATTCACACAAACGGACTGGCAGACCCACCAACAGACGAGTTGTATTTGTTTTCTTCTCCGTGTCTTTTATAAGTTCAAATACAGCTATTGACTGTTCAAGCTTCATTTAGTATTTGATGTTTGTTAATTCCCGTGGAAAAAATCTGTGAAACGGAGGAATACTTGTGTAATGCTTTGCCCAAAATTCTTGAAGGGTTTGATTATTTTACCCATGGGGAGGGTTTTTGTAGTTTTTCTTAGCACTGAGAAGTGTAGGAGTTATCTGATGAATGAATGTGGAAAGGAAGAAAGGAGCACATGCTAAACAATTTTGTTCCTCGTGTGCAGAGCATTTAAAAGTTGAACTTAACGGCTTATGTTTTGAAATGTCATGTTTTCAGGCTTCAATAAATAAATGGCTCATTTTTAATAAAAGAAAAATACTCTCATGGCTTTTTTAATGACTCCACGGCTGCAACATCCATTGAAAGAGGCTTTATTATCAGGACTGCTTGGAAACATCTCTACGTTTGGTGTCCACAGATTGAACACACTCATTGGTTATGTTGTCTGACCCAAAAGTGAGGCTTATTGTTATCTGAAGAATGACCCACTGAAAGTGATATCTGCTTTGTAGAACTTTTTATCACACCCCTCATTTTGAATTTGAAATAGCAGCTCAGCTTCGGTTAAATTAGCATTTTGATTCACATAAAGGACTGATGTTAAACACTTTTCAAAGCAGCTATTTAAAACAGTAAATAGAAGGTTACACATCTTATTGTAAAGCATTGGCAGAATGAAAAATGGTAAAAGGAACTGAAGTGAAACAGAAATTGCCCAGCACCAGTTAAACAAATAAAAAAATAAAAAACATTGAGACAGATTTAGAGGATCCTGAAGTTGTAGGTCAGTAATCTTCATAGAGCTTCACAAACAAGAGGCCTGCACTGCAAACAGTTGAATCGTAAAACATCGTAAAACATTTTTAAAAAAAAACATTGAGAGAGAACCCTCATTTGCAATGGTGCATAGAAAAGAGGCAAGATAGAAATAAAACGGGAGAACAGGAAGTACATGCGGTGAAAAGGCTAGAAAATACAATTAAATAAAGTTAAAATAATAACAATTAAAATGTTAAAATCAATAAGATCAGAAATTAAAACTCGGAACTGACTCTGTTATTAATGTGTTTAACTTAAAGATGACATACAGCCCTTTGCTTCATTTTCAAACAGTCCCCCTGTGGTCTCAATGAAACATCTGTGCTGTGGTCAACATACAACATGAATCAAGCACCAGAGGAGGTTTGTGACCCTGTATAAACCAGCTCTCTCAGAATGCTCCGTTTTGGTGTGTGTGTCTCTTTAAATGCAATGAGCCCCCCCCTGAGTTTTCACGATAGACATCACTCCTCTGTAGCGAGAATAAAAATGGCGAACCTGCGCAAATGTTTTGTTCTAGGCTGGGCGTGGAGTCAGTCCATGAGGAATTTCTTTACATGAATCCCTCTGTGACATCACAAGGAGAGCACATTTGAAACAGAGCACTTATGCAGACCACAAGCAAAGGACTCTATGGGATTATTTCACATTTTGTGGGTCTAGTTATATATTTATACATTCTGAGGTCATTTTCTTCAACTAGAGCCTATAGGACTTACATCCACACTGGTGGTGCAGTTGGCCCTTTTAACCAGGCAGGGCGGTTTTGGAGTGCGCGTTATTACGGCAAGTTAGATGGGGACGCTGGTCACTGTTGAAGAGACAGTGGTTTCTAACAGGAGTACGAGGCCTAAGTACAACGGTTTGTAAAAGGTCTTATCAGGGTCGAAGAGAGTGGTTTTTAAGAGCTCAACACTCCCGGATGTGTGGTTCAGTCCCACTTGGACAGCGTTGGTTTGATGTTGAAACCTCTTCACACAGTAACACTGACTGGATGTACTGAAAGTGACCGCTCATATTTACTTGAAGGGACATCTCATCTACAATGCTCAACCTAAATCCTTGTCAAACTGAGCTATTATCAGCAACAGAGAAGTTAATGTTTAGTGAAATCTGGGTGGAGTGGTCAGATCAAATGTCATCTTAACACAATGCATGTGATAACTAAGTAGCTACAGTCAGAACAAAGCTAGCATAAAATGGCTGCTTAGTTACCCCTGCTGTTTGTGCTACATGCTACTAGAAGAGTAGCGTAAATACCTCGCTAATGATGAGAGGGAGCTTAAGTTTCTGGTGTGATTGAATGCAACGTTACCTATTTTCACTTAGATGTGAGCTCATCTTCTATCAAAAAAAACACATTTGTAAACGCATAGTGACAACTTGATCACAACATCTAACACAAGCATTCAACCAATTCCTATTTTTAATGTTCTTCAGCTTGCGTCTTTAGCGAGGACTCGTGGGTTTTCTGTGGTGTCTTGTAACATTTGAAACGTCTCTAGTTCCCTCCAGATTTCACTCTCTGATTTCTATCAATTGTCTATTCTGTTGCTGACCAATCAATAAGCGGCAAATTGATAAAGATTTATGGGATTCCCTGTTTATACAACTTGCGTATCTGTAAAGTATCAGCATGATATTGTAACACTCTTTGACGTTCCCACCATGAGCATGACGTCAGAGGAAGATGTCCACCTTTTAAAATGGTGAATGGCAAACAAACCCATGAAGTAAATTTTGAGACGTGTGTGTGATCTGACAAGAAATAATAACTATGCAAAGCCCTCTGGGATATTTAAACTTTCATATAAATACATTTTGAAAATATTTGACAAATATATATTTCAGTTTGCATCGTAAGTGATAAACCTACCATCATTGGCAACAACAACAACAAAAAAAACCTGCTTGAAATACCTGAGGGCGATTGTGAATCTGTCCTTCATGTGCTGTGTTTATGTGTGAGGTTTTGTCCACGTGATCTCGGGATCTTTGTGTGCTGGCATGTTCTAAATGTAGCGGTCTTGGACGGATCAGGTGTAAATGTGTTTACAAAGACTACTTCCCATGACATGATGGTCACTTTCATGAGGGTTTCCTCTTTCACCATGAAATCCATCCTACTCCATCCTTTTCCTACGATCAGACAAATAGTGTCTCATATCTGTAATCGTATAGGTTTCATAGTTTCAAGCCACCATTACAGGAAAGCTTTCAATACATCGGTGTGATAAACATTACAGTCATATGCAGCCTGGAAGCGATCGTTTGCACATCTAAGGCATGCATGTGTGCCCATGTGTGTCTTGCCTTGTATTAGATTACCATTAATTGACCACAAACATTATGGAGCCACTTAAGAAATGACAAAGTCTCCATGCACATACATCTACACACACACACACTGTCACATCATCATTACATTATCTCCCTGATGTGAGAGGCAATAACGCTGTCAGTGCTTGTAAGTGTATTGAGAAGTGGTCGTATCACATGTCACATTATTGCACAGTTGTCAATAATGCCACAGTTTCTCATTTATAACAGCACATTTAGATTCAACCCTCTTATTGAAGCCTGTAAGTATATAATCTGATTATTTTTTGTACTGTATAAGTAAAAAAAAAAAAAAAAGAAGTGAAGTCTGAAATTATGATGGGCAATGACTTCATAATAACTCAAACTCTTTCTCGGTCCTGTGTGAATTTTGTCAGGAGTCATAAAAGTAAAGATAAGTTGGACTCTTCTCCTTTCTACATGCAGAGAACTTTTCTGATAAGAACCCCTCTGCTTGTGACAGATTTATGCCGAGAGAGACATTTTACAGGTGATAGACTAACTTGTCAGAGGTTGTTAGTTAGCTAAATGATCATCATGTTACTGTTTCTACATTTTTTCAACCAGATTGAGCGTTTTGCAAACATGTCTATGAGTAAAATGTTGACTTATTCAGAGCTATAATATCTGTTGATATACAGTAGGTTGACCTAGCTAGTTTGATGTATTATTAATATTTTAATCATTATGTGGTGATTGATCATTTTAATATACAGTATATACATTTGAACGCATTGGACTTGTAAGGTGTGTTACATATTTGACTGTAAAAAAAAAAGCAGGATGAGATTTTGTGAGAAAACTCTACTTCCCCATATCCAGAACATGATCAGCATGAGATTAGAGGTCATCAGCATGGACACAATAAAAGTTCCTCACAGTAACTTGAAAAAGCAGCACATTTTTGGACAGAATATCTTCACTAAAGAATCTTCTGACAAGTACTTCCTTCTATTTTCTATTGATTCACCCTTTCACTCAACTGGATTGAACAGCCAAATATTGTAGATCTTACTCCACTACATGTATTTCATTTACTAAGGCATTCACATAATTATTACAATGTTGGATCAATCAATAAATGATCATTTATTTTAATAAATGATCATTTATTTTAATAAATACGGTTAGAGAAAATGTAAAGGTTAATCAGCAATTATGAAAGTTACTTAAATGAGTTCCTTCTTAAAGTACACATGAAGGCATGGTAGAAAAACAATTGTGTTTTGTGTGTGTTTTTAAAATGGCTATTCTGGCTTCATAAAATGTTTGCTTTTTGTACTTTAACTCAACTTTGATGATCAAAACATGTGCTCTTTACTCTCATGTTCAAGATTTGAAAGCAGGAGTTTTACTTTTATGTGCATATTGTGGTAATACTACTTCTACCCTTTTATCTTTCTCTAGCTGTACTTTTTGTATTTCTAAACCGGTGAAAGAACAGGGTTTTTTATTTGATTTGGACAAAGAAATTAAAATGTAATATCCTTGAAAAAAAGAACAGCTCGATCTGAGATGACAATCGAATACAGGGCGGCTTATGTAGCAGTCAACTAAACTACTTTTTAAAATAATCGAGTGAACAGATAAAAACAACATCATTATTGTCTTTTTCCCATTAATAGTTAAAACTTTTAAAAAGAGCCTCCCTGTGACTTATAAAGAGTAAACAAACATGTGATGACACAACCATAGTAGTCATCTTTATTTAGTTTTCTGCTATTAAACAGTCTTAGATATTGTTATATTTATGGTTACATGAAATGGGCAGGTTTGGGGTTTGGAGTTAAAAAAAAGCATGCAAGAAATGAAAGAAACCCCACTGAAAGGATGTTTGAGGAAAATGTGAATTGAATCTGACTCACACTAAACTGAAGAGAGAGAAAAGAGGTATTGGCTGATGGGGATTTGTGGTCAGGACAGAAAGATAAAAGGGGATGGAATGGACAGACACTTCCACATATTCCCCTGGCTAATTAAAAAGGAAGGGGAGGTCCAGTTAATGACATAAACCAGTGAAACCAAGACAGTGAGGGAGAGGACAGAGGCAAATCAAATATGCCATGAGGCAGATGAACACAGAATACAACGAGTAAAAGACAGGACCAGTGTGAGGCTTTAGATAATATTACTGTCATTAGAATCAGGAGCGTCGCTTTTATTCAAACACTTGATCTTCAGGCTTGTCTGGAAGAACCTGCAGGTGCTCTACAGGAGCTTCACTTTTCTTCAGATTCAGGAGGTCCTGACTCGCACTGACAAGAAGACATGGTGTGGGGCTTCATTACTGACTTCTTCACCTATGAGACAACCAAGTCTGTGGTGGTCAAGAGCTGGACTGTGGGCATCATCAACCGGGTCGTACAACTGCTCATCGTCACATATTTTGTCGGGTCAGTGTTACTTTTTTTGTGATTTCTTCCAATCTATGGTATTCTGTGTATAAATACATTTAAATGTAGACTTTCTCAACCTTCATTTCTAGCCATGCATTGCAGATTGTTTTTGATTCACTTACACAGGATATGAGAAATCTTCCCCTGAGATTATTGCAGCCACACCATAAAAATGAAAGAGAAGAAGATTGCTTCTTTAAAAAAATCAATATTAGTGTACATTTTCAGACAAAGTGTCCCCAGTTTTACCCTCAACTACCTGAAGAAGAACGTATTTTCTCGTGCAATTGTAATTAATCCTACTTGTAGAAAAGAAAAAGAAGTAAAGACAGGAGTGCTTCTGGGCTCCAACAAACACGTGTTAGTTTAGAGATGGTCTTTGGATTAGGGTACATGAACCCATAAATCACGAGAGACAACAAGAAACTCCTCTGAACTAAGAAGAGAGTGCCTTAAAGAGTGCCAGGAAGAGATCATTTGTCTGCAGTTTTATATCCCTCGTGTTAGATTTTCAAATATTCTCCATTTCCCTTTAGATTTAGAGACTATAGAGTCAAAGTGAGAAGCTCACCTCATGTGCTCAACATCCCACGTCTTAATCAGAACTTTACAATTTAGAACATTTATCAACAGCAATATTTGCAATGTAGTAGTCACTGTTTGAGAAGTCTAAGAAAAGTTAAAGTCCAGTTTTTCAGACTTGTATAAGTACTCATTGTTCAGCAGAGGGGCATGGGGGTGTTTCATTATTTTATATCAAGAATTAAAAAGCAGCATAATAGTTGCAATTCAAATTATTTTTGGAGAACAAACGTTATAGCACGTCATTTAAGAGTTTTCTGGTCTTCTTGCCGTTTTTTGATAGGAGAGCTTGAGAGGAACAGAGAGAGTAGGGGTGACATGAACTAAAAAGGATCAGGACCAGGAGTTCAACATGCAACCTGGGCAAAGGAGAATAGAGGAAGATGTGGAGTTGTATGGAGGACTGTAGACTCTGTGCATGGGGTGCCTGCTCTATACCCACTAGCTACGTAGTTTTGGATGCCTGTTTCAAAAGATGTTGAACAACACTTACTGTTACTCTGCTTGATTCTGTTTTCTGAATCATTTCACTTTCTGGATGTTCTAAATATTCAATCAGTTGAAAGGTTAAAAAAGATATTAAGAACAGTTTTAAGAGTTCTTATCCAAACTAGAAATGACACATCACCATGCTCAATTTGTATCTGAACCGAATATAATACCCTTAACGGGGTTTCCCAAATGCTGCTTATTTATTTATTTTGGGGAAAATCTAGTTCTAAGTTCTGTGAATCAGACAATATGTTAATGTCTAAAAAGGGAAAGAACGAAACCAAAAATAACTCAGTTCTGTGATTTGTAGCTGATTACCTATTTGCTGTCTCTGAAATAAAATGTAGAGTATAATTTGATCTGGAGATGAAATCAAAACAATTCCAATCTTCAAGTGCTGTTAAATGATGTGTCCTCCGTCCTGCAGCTGGGTCTTCATCCACGAGAAAGCTTATCAGGTGACTGACACCGGCATCGAGTCCTCCGTGATGACCAAAGTGAAAGGCTTTGGGTACCAAAACAATCATGTGATGGATGTGGCCGACTATGTTCTCCCACCACAGGTGTGTAAAAATATGTGTTTAAACCCACCCAAGCATACGTATGACCTTTGACTTTTGGTGCACACACATGGCTTTGAATAACTATTTCCTTGAACAATAACATCATCTCTAAGGTTCCCTCTCAGACAGGCTTTACGGTCACAGGCTTAGAGAGAGTTTATCTGATACCAGTACGAACAAATACAGGATCAGGTTCCTGCAATTATCTCTGAGCACCACTCCAATACCAACATTTATTAGATAGAAAAAAAATCCATAAGAAATCATTTCATTCTCGCTGCTCCAAAACAGCAACCTACAACCTGGCTATATCACAGCTTCTTTTTTTAATTAATTGTATAGTACACAGCAGTAGTCTGTCACTTTACAAGTTGATCGTTTTTCCCATCCCAGTTTGACCATTGTATCCTATCACACAAGACTTGAGTACACAGTTTACAGTATTTCCTGATGTGTTTCAGGGTGCAGGTGTGTTCTGCATCATAACCAAAGTCATCATCACCGAAAACCAGTTCCAAGGAAGATGTTCAGAGGTGAGGACACATTCAAATCACTCATCACTTATTAGTCTTAATGTTTTAGTTTCACCTATTCCTCATTGAGCACCTGACGGCATTTCTCTCAGCTGTATTTGTAAACTGTTGTTCACTTCATTATACCCTGTTTTACTTGTCTAATGTTAAGTACTATTTGGTTATCAAAGAAAAATTCCACATAACCAGTCATTTCTTAATATAACATCACACAACAACACATCTTTCATTCTAAATATAATTTATTCTGACCAGGAAAGAGTCTCAAATCAGAGCTCTCAAGACCCAAAAACACATACTTTACAAAACCACAAAGTAATAATGGCTCAAGAGGTGCAAACTCGCTTGATTCCTGATACCCTGTGTACCATTGAAATGTTTCATAGTTATCCAAAAACAATCTTGCTTAATCATAAATTACTGCAAAAAAAAAGAAGAAAATTCTCATGTTTCTGTGTTTTAGACTGGGAAGAAGTTTAGTTGTAAAACAAATGAAGACTGCAACAAGCATTTGGGTTCTATCCTCTCCAATGGTGAGTCTTACCAGTCTTAAAAAACAATCAGTGACTTGCCTTTCCAGAGTTGGGATAATTTCAGTCTGCACTCTGATGGCTGCCATTTTTTTTTTTTTTTTTTAGCAGAAGATTATTAAAAATACTGTTGAGGTCTGTCTACAAAAAACTATCCATTATTTCTGTGTTACACATCAGGTATTATAACAGGTGATTGCCTGAAATCCTCCAACAATTCCCAAGGCATGTGTGAGATTGAAGGATGGTGTCCTGCTGAGAACGACAGCGTCAGTGTGTAAGATTTACACACACAAAAGAAATACACACAGATAGGCAACAACTTTTTCCTCATTTAATCCTCCTCAGCTATCCTCACACCTCCTTTTTTTCTCAACATCTTCCTCAGCACACCGATGCTGGATGTGAACAACTTCACCATCTTCATCAAAAACAGTATTCGATTTCCACTTTTCAATGTCACCAGGTGGGTAACGCACAAGAGGGCTTACACACATATTCTCACATTACAGCTTCAAATGTCTTTATGGTTACAACAAATGCATGAAAAATGTGAAGAGAGAAAGAAAAACATTGTTTTTAATTATTCTCTAATAGAGGGAATTTTCCTTCCACCATGAAGTCTGATGATATCAAGAAATGCACCTACCACCCTCAGAAGAATCCCTTCTGCCCCATCTTTCGTGTGGGGGACGTGCTGAACTACACTGGACAGGAAATCACAAATCTGACAGATCAGGTGTTGTCCTCGTTGTCCATTCTTTCCTTAAGATATCCCTAACTCTTCATCTTCAATTAAAATGTTTTATACCTGCTCAGGACTACACACAAAGAGACAGTTTGAGGTTTAACTGCCTTGAAGTTTAATTTCACTTTACATAAACAACAGAGTAACTAGACTCCATTATACAAATGACAATATAACAAGGACCTGCACTTTGACTAGCCTGTTTGTGCAGTTTGCCAATGCATGCCTTTCTTTTTGTGAGTAGACACCTTCAAACTTGAAAAAGCTTTTGTAGCTCTTAGCTGTCTTGCGCCATTCATTCTCCCCAACAACAAGAGTGGTTCGTGGTAAGTCGAGAGACAAGAATCACATTTTTTATATACTCTGTGAATCGGAACAAACACGCAAATAGGTGTACTTACTGATGGTTAGCAAGTTTGTTAACTTGGATAGCTTTTTTCAGGCTTCATTTGTGTTTTTCACGAAACAAAACAGGGTTTATTGTTGCACAAAATGTAATAAGGAGTTAAGAACAGTAGATAAAAATGTTTCTTTATCAATCATCTATATAGTATTCATAACACCACTGAGCTTCTTGCTTAAAATGTTATGCAAAGATTTGCAGAACACCTTCCCTTTACCACTTACACTGTGACTTATCCCTGAGTTTTTAAAGCTGGAGGTTTAGCAAACATTCATTCTAAATAAGAGGCTATGCCGTCATCAGAGAGAATCACCAAATGTTAACTTTTCACATTAGCCTGCCATTGTCCCGATTTCAGATGGAGTTCTCATTCTGTCCACTATATCCCTGTGGTTACATTTAAACAACCTCTGTGTAACCTATATGATGAAAAGGGTTCATTTTGACCAGTATTTGGATTTTGCACAAGACAGTTTTTGTGTATACTTTCTGTACACTTTATAAATCTTTGATTGTTTAATGAGGTATTTCCTTTGCAGGGATTTAGCCAATTAAATGCCAGGTCCTAGGTCCCTTAAGCTTATATCCCACCAAACGGGATGCCTCAAGGGCAAGTGCTGGGTCTCCTTCTATTCTTAATATGCACCACCTCACAATCATCCGCTCTCATGGTTTCTCATACCATTGCTATGCTGTCGATACCCAACTCTTACTGTCAATCCACCAGATGACATTACAGTTTCTGCAAAAATTTTGTCATGCCTTGCTGATGTCTCTCAATCAATGAATGAATGCCACCTTCAACTCAACCTAACAAAGACTGAACTCCTTGACATCCCAACCCCTCCCTCAGTGCAATCATGGATCAATACCCAGCTTGGAACAACCAAACTCATGCTGAGAAAGTCTACCAAGATGTCATGATTGATGATAAGCTAACATTTAAGGCTCACCGGGCCTCGATTGCCCACTCTTGTCAATTTCTCCTATACAACATCAGGAAGATCAGACTTCTGACATCAGAATAGCATGCTCTGACAGCTCCTGTCAGGTCTTCCTGCTTGCACAATCAAAGCTCTGCTGATGATCCAAACGCAGCAGTGTGCAGGTTAAACCAACCCAAAACAGCACATTTCACTCCGCTGTTCATATCCCTCCACCAGTTATGTACATGTGTAGTGCCTCAAAGTGTGTTCTGTTTTTCCTTATCATTCTCTTTCAGGGTGGAGAAATAGGAATAAACATTGAATGGAAGTGTAACCTGGACCTAAACATTGAGTATTGTGAACCTAAGTACTCTTTCACTCGACTGGATGAACCATTTTCAAAGAATGCCGTCTCCAAAGGCTACAACTTCAGGTAGTGAGGCTGTTTCTTTCCCTCTCAACATCTACTCACTATTTTAATTACTTCTCATTCTTGGTCACTTTTTCTTCCAATCTTTGACTCTTTGAATGCAGATTTGCCAAATATTTCAAGACACAGGATGGGACTGAATTTCGGACCCTTCACAAAGCATATGCTATCCGCTTTGATGTAATGGTCACTGGCAATGTAAGTCATGTGAATTTTACAAGCTAACTAACAATTATTTTTAGAAAATTGCTAATGAAAAATGTGTCAGTTAGGCAGAAAATTGTTGCTGTTTAAGTTCTTAAAACTGTTCATAATGTTATTCAAGTGTGCAGAGAGAATATGCCTCTTAAAATGAAAGCCCTATAATTTGGGGAAACACATTGATTTTCTTTCCTGCAGAGTTGTGGATGAGAACTTGATTATTACATCCAAATGTTTCTGTGCGGAATATCCTTCAAAGTGTAGCCTGTAGAACGAAGCAGTGACTAGAAGGTGTGTTTTGAAATACTTTGAAGACTGTTTCCCTTTTTCCAGTCTCTTAAGCTAGAGCTAAGCTAAGAAGTTTCTATTCGTAGTTAAAGTTTTAATAGTATGAATCAGTAAGTAAGTAGAATAGAATAGAATAGAATTACTTTATTGATCCCAAACTGGGAAATTGTGGCGTTACAGCAGCAGGTTATCCAACACACAATTTGAGTAAAAAAAACACAATGTTAGCAAATCTAAACACAATATAATATTAACTACGAAGTAAATAAGTACTAAAATATATCAAAAATAAGAATGTGAATATATACAACCAGGATTTAACTAAGCATTACTAGTCTTAAATAGGAAGATTAAATATGGAAGATTGAATGTAAATGTGCAAAAACAGAGTCGTAGATGGTTATAAATTAAATATGAAAGATTAAATGTAAAATGCAGTAGTAGTAGCAGCAGTAGTAGAAGTAGTAGTAAATATTTCTTTAACATATTGATACTTGAACTGTTTGATATCAAACTGGCTTCATTTCTGGATGTTCGTCTCTTCCAGGCAGGAAAGTTTGCCACAGTCCCAACACTGATCAACTTGGTTGCTGCCTTCACTTCTATTGGACTGGTAAAAAAAAAAAAAACTCTGATCAGGAAACAAATATTTAAGATGTATTGTTCTTGTTGCTGTCAGCTGTATTTACATTTTTATTTTGTTTTGACAGGGTGCAGTTCTCTGTGATCTTATCCTGCTGAACTTCTTGAAAGGGGCGAAGCAGTACAAAGCCAAGAAGTTTGAAGAGGTATTGAACTTACACTTACATTGACTGCAGAGTGACTTTGACTGCAATATCCAATCCACTTACACTTTTCTGTTAGAGCGTTGCTGATAATGCTTCACTACTTTGTCCCTCCAGGTGTCGGACGCTCAAATAGAAGCAGAACTTGCTCAGAGCCCCGGCAGCCCACTGTCACTGAAAGGAGGCATCAAGAGCTCCTATGACTCCGGAGCCATTTCCCTCGCCGCCTCTGACCAACAACTTTGACTGACAAAAACAATAACAACAACCTGAAGACATGAACTCTCCTTCTCTTTCACTTGTTACCTCTCCATAAGAGATACATTATGCTTTTTCTGGTTTTCTATACCCTGCTGTCTTTTTCAGTTTGGTAAGTCAATGAACTGTGGAGAAAAAAAAAAAGACTACTTTGTTGCAATGTTTTCATTTCTTCAACTGGAAGTGTTAGATGAAAGGAAGATGCAAAATAACTTCACACTGTGTTCTCCTGGTGTCATACACTCAATCAAAGTTCCCCTGAGAAAGACTTACAATGAAACTCAACGAATGGCTGACTCCTAACTACTTAGATTACGCTTACTTACAATTACAGTCATACTCAGAAAAAAAAAAAAAACGCTTATAAAGCAGCCATCATTTTAATCCAAGTACTAATTTGAATGCTTTTTAACTGTGATTGCTTGCATTTTCCTGTTTGTACAATCTTAAAGCTGAATAAATCTTCTTCGAGAATTAACTAACTGTGTAACATTTTAGAGAAATTATCTTCCTTGTCATATTCACACACTCACCAACTGCACTCCATCCTGTACAAATAAAAGCACTAAAGGGTCTCCCAATGGTGTAAAGACATGGTTAATGACAGTGTGTGTTTGTTTTTTGGAGACGGCTGGCGTAGTTTAAATGTATGTGTGTGTGGCTTGTGGTTTATAAATGGGCCATTATTAGTCCACTTCCGGGCGATGACGTACAGTAAAATATGTTACTGTACAGACTAATGGACTCGTGTTTGTTTTAGTAGAATAGTCCAGACTATTCCAAATGATCCCAAATATTTTCTGTTTACCCTCGTTTATACTTTCTCTTTCTATATCAGACATGAACAATTCTCTGTTTCTTTATCCCTCTGTCGCACACACATATTACCTCCTTCCTCCCATCCTCCTCCTCTCTATTCTCACCCTTGTTATGCTGTAAAGTGTGACCAGAGCACTAAAAAAAGAAAAGCTAAAGAGCCTCTTAATGGCTCGGACAGTGATTTACAAGAGATGATAGCTATGAAGGGAGGCCACAGAGGAATTGACAGCAGTTAGCCATAAAGTTTGATGAACTAATTTGATCACACTAATCGAAATAATGCATGTAATGGGAATATCAGAACACGATACACAGTGCAAGAAAGTACTCCATCTCTCTGAATGATGTCTCTGCCCTGGGCAGAATGAATAGGAGCAGAAAACATGGATCCCCTGGATGGAGAGATTCATTAATGTTAGACAAATTGTGGAGTTGAAGGATGTTGTCCCCACAGGAAAAATTTAGAAGGGACAATAGATGTAGGTTTTTATACATATTCCAGCTCTGCTAGAGGAGAACAACATCGAGGATAATGACTATAAGGATAATGACTTTAAATAAAAGAGTAGAAGGAAACCCCTCATGTTTCATCAATAAGCTTAAGCTTCACCTACATTTGGGTTATCTTAGCTTAAACTAAGACTCAGAGAGCGCTGCCAGACTCTGTCCAAATATAACTGAATTCTCTTAAAGTCTGTGAAGTAGCTGGCAACTACAGTTGTAAATAACAGTAGTAAAGTAAAAAAAAAAAAAAGTAGTATTGGTTAAAGTATAAAGTTGTGTGACCATCTTCAGCTTACTTTTTCTAAAGGCAAACACACACTCTCACATTTTGCACATTTTGTTTTTTAATAAAGATTAATCAGGGTTTGTGGATCAGTCTGCTTTTTGGCGGGTTGCAGTGCTTTCCCTGGAAGCAAGCACAAACTCTTACTGAGAGTGGTTTTAATCTTCTTCACAAACAAAACTACAAAAAAAACTACAAAAACAAAAGTACATAAGACGATTTCCCCAAATAATAAATTATTTCTTTGACGTTTCTCTTAACTCTCAGCTGATATAGACATACATTGAACAAGCTTGTTCTGTAAAAAATAATACTATAGAGTCTATGAATACATTTTTATGATATAATATCTAGGGATAAGTAACCAGTGGAATCTGCAGCCTCTGCTTCAGCTCTATAGTCTCATATGTCTTTCCTCCTCAGGGGTTAATTTCCTGGACAAATGGACAAGGAGCCATTAAGAGGAGACAGAGCGGCTAAGTGTCACAGACAGCAGGACAGAGAGGAGTCTGAATATGAAGGAGGAGGCATTGTTTCATTTCTGCTAGAAACTTTACTCCAGACACCAATTTGATCATCATACTTTTTTCAGAATGTGCAACACTGCTGGTATATAATCCATTCTAGAGGGAGTGAGCAGACAGCATGGACAGAAAAACTAGAAACTAGAAAGTAGTACAGATCAGCACCAGGAGCTGGTCACAGTTGGTGGTAAGGAGAGGGCAAGAAGTCGCAAAGAGGTGCTTGTAGCGCCCAAACAGAATCCAAAACACTCCTGAGATGCATGAATTAATATATTGTAATGTTGAATAACTGCTAAACTTTCGGTCCTTATTCTGAAACATGTTCAAACCAGATGAAGTGCCTGTTTTGTTGCACCTTGACTATCTGGGCTTCCTCCCAGTGTTCCTCCTCTTCAGAGCCAGAATCCAGGCAGGTAGAGCAGGCCGCCGAGCCGGTGCCACCTCCTCCATAGTTACCTGCTCCACCTCAAAGTCTTGCTCGGTGACAGAGTCCTCCTCTGCTTCAGAGTCCTCCTCTGAGTCCAAATCCTCCAGATCCAGATCTGGAAGTGGTATTGTCTGCACCTCCTCTGAAAAGCGAACACGCCGGTTCTCCTCAACTCGTCTCTGATAGAGAGTGGGTTAAACAAAAAAAAAAGAAAAGACAGCAGTTAAGAAAAACATCATAACAGTAGAAACCTGTGTCATTTGAAGTGGTTTCATCGTCTATGTAACATGGATTATTCAATATTGCCGCCGAACATATTTTATGAGTCGTTTATTTCTGAACAATGTAATTCGGAACAAACTACTGTATGTAACTTGGCGCAAATCATAAGTCGCAAGCGTAACCTAAAGAGTATTTTCAATTTACACAGCTAAACACAAAAAAGTATATTCACCATTTATGAACAAAAACAATGAATATATATTTTCAATGGGTTTAACTTAATCTATGTTCCGATTGTATCTTGTTCCCTTATTATTATCATCAAAACATTTTATTTAGATGATACTTTTTTGAAATGATTGAGGAAATTGTTGAGGTCATACCAAACTGAAAACTTAAGTGAAATGTAAGTTCACTTAAAAAGATATCAAAACTCTTTGTTTTTAGCATTATACACGTTTCTTACACACTGTAATTATTTTTTCTTATAGTTGTTTCTCAAATAATTTGTATAATTTTTTTCTGCGTTGTGGTAGAGATGTCAGAATTCAAGAAAGTCTCATGACTTTGTTGTTTTTCTCGAGTCATTAAGTGTCTAAAACTGTCTGCAAACTCTCGCCTGCCTCGATTGAACTTGTTGAATTGATGTGTGACGCAGACCTGACCTGACATTCTTGTGCCACAGGGAGGCGTTGCCTTCACAACTTTTCTGTTTTGAAACGTACCCTTTTTGTCTGAACTTCCATTGAGGACTCTGAATCCTGGGATATGGAGTGTTTGAGGACACCCTTTGGTGTGGCAGAAGAAGAAGGAGAGAGAGGTTGAGGAGAGTTTAGGATGTATAAAGGCAGGACGACATGTCGTGAGTCCTCTCCTGTCTCCTTCATCGACTCGCTTCTTGAAGATATGGACCCCTCTGTGAGACGAGAGAGAAGAGAACATCATTTCAGCAACAAGACAACATCTCAAACTGTGTAAACTAAAACCAGGATATGAAATTATTCTGACCTCTGCCTATCGTATTCCCATCATTTATTTTCGGTCTTTGGAGCCTCTGGTCTCTCCTCTCAGCTGACTGATGCTGCCTCTTTCTGTGGAGCTGGACTCTGCTCTTCAACGCCGAGTTGTCAAGAAGATCAGCAGGCTGCAGACAGCAGGATAGAGTGGAGAGCACACATTTAACATTAAAACTTAAATACACAAAATGGAAAAAAAAAAAAAAGGGATTAGTATTTTCAATTGATATAGAACAAATTATTTCTGTTAAAATAGTACATTACTGTAGTATGTTGTGAAAACTGACCCTAAGAAAGGTAGCTTTTTGTAGCTGTCCACTCTCTTCTGACTGCAGATCTGATTGGTTGCTCCCATGCTCCATTGGTTCTGAATGGTCAGCCTCAGAGTGAACATCCTGCTTTTGTTTTCCTCCAGAAACATCCATGCCGACGGGCAGGACACCTTCTGATGATGTTTGCCCCATGCTAAAGTCTGAGGCAGGTGTTGACCACTGCTTGTTCTGACCTCCAGGCTGGCTGAAAATCAGGGTACGGTGAGGATTCTGTGCGATTTGTAATCCTTCTAAAGGTCTCTGATTGGCTGAGGTGGCGGAGAGTTGTGGTTTTAGGAACTTTGCCCACTCTTGACCTGTGACGATCTCCTCCAGTAGACTGAAGGAGCCCAGACCCAACTGAAAGTCCCCTGTTGACCTACCATGAGAGAATTCAAATCAGTTCTAATCATTGTATTTTTACATTTCATACACAGAAAAAGTAAATATGATTAATAGTAAAAAAACAAAAAAGAGGAGATAAAAAATACAACAACAAAAAATAAACAAATTAATTCAAAAACGTGTGTACAAGCACAATTATTTATTGCACTGCTGTTGTTTGACATCTATAGTAGGTACTTTAAGAGAACAGCTTGTGTTCAAATAGTCTCAGTAATGTAAACTGCCTAACAAGTCACTCAGTAAGTCGCTCATTGTACCCACAGTACTATCAGTGAAATGTATCATTTAAAACATCAGTGCTAATGATATGAAGTATAATCTAACAACACTGGCGAGGGTCATTCTGTATGCATGAATCGTTCTTTTTTTTCCTTTGTGACTTCATGTACGTTGTTTCTTTATTGCCCTTTGTTAAAAAGCATCTGAATATTTCACTGATGATGTTTTCTTATCAAACATGTGTAAAACATCTCACGAGACTGTTCTCAATGCTGAAGTGTGTGGTACATGTTGTAATGACAGATGCTGTCAGTGACAGAGGTGTGTTTGGCACACTAGAGGGAAAAAAAAAAAAACATGAGACCAAACTAATATCACAGCTGAGCTTTGAGACGTCTCAGAAATACTTCACATATTTCAATCATGTTGCTTTTGGCCCGAGAGACGAAACACCAAAACCAGCCGGAGAACTTTTAGCATGCGTGACCCTTTGGTAAATGAAGTACTGTTTGTAGGACCTGTAAGTAGCTTACCTCATGTATCCTTCATTGATGCCATCCTCTGTCTGAGCAGGGGTGGTTTTACTGGGGTCACTGCTGTCCAGTGAAGGGGCCGGTCTTTCATCTTCCTTATTTGGCGTGTTGATGAGAGTTTCTGCTGTCATCGGCTGGTTTTGAGGTAAAATCTGTGCAGTAAACAAGCGTCAGTATCACTTACATGTTTTCCTTTTAAAGTTTTGACAATAGAAAAAAAACTTTACTCACTCCAGTTCCTTGCTCTCTCTTCTGGTCTTCTCCCCCGCCTTCCTCTTTTCCCTTTTTGCCAAAACTGCCCTGCCTGTCTCTCCATCTCTCCTTTATCTTCTGAGTCCATCTTCTCGTTTTATTCCCAGCTGGTCGCTGTTGTCTTCTGGAGATGCTGTCTGTTTTCCCCGGTGAGCCAACCTGCATATCTTTAGCTCCAAAACCTCCATTCCCCATGTGCAACAGTTGGTCCTCTTTACTTTCTGTCGGCTTCAAAGACCACATGTAGACTCTGGGTGTGAAACCTTGACCCTGTCCTGTACTTGTTGCAGCATCTTTATCATCAGGGGTGTGACTTATCATTGCAGAACTGACAAAATTCCCCCCATCTGTTCTCTCAGAGGAAGAGATATCCACATCTTTGAGTGATTTAGCAGGAAACAGCTGCTCTGTTCCAGTTGGGATATGTGTGTTCTGCCTCATCATCCTGTTCTCACCCGTGTCTCTGTCAGTGTTTTCTTTGTGGGTGGAGAAGGAAATAAGACCCCGGTCCACTTCATAGGCATGACCTGGCTGATGTATCTCCACAGAAGACATCCCAAACTCTTTTGAGGGGAGATCATTAGAACCAAACTCAAAGCCATTACCAGGGCTGCGGTTCACTCCCTGGAAGTCAGAGGCTCCCCTCTCTCCATCCTGCACCCATGTGTGAACAGCTGTGTTGGGTGCAGGTGCATTCAGGTACACCTGGCCCTCTCTCCCCGGCTGGAGCTTCAGTCTCTGCAGCATGGACTGCAGCAGAGCCTGACTGTCTTTCGGATTAGGTGACTGAGACATCTAGGAAGAGATCTGCTGCGTATTTAATCCAGAAGAGCATGACAACGATGACTGTGCGGAAACATAACAATATAGTCCTATGAACAGTGGTGGATTCCTTGCAGACATTTGCAAAGAGTTGCTTTAAAAAAGAGACCTCGAAGAAGAAGAAATCATCTGTGTGTAGATAACATCACCATTTTGTCCTTTTGATGTTTATTTCCCTGTGGTGGATGTTCCCTCCTCTTTTATTTCTCCAATCGTTTGCCATGATTCTTTCCATAGTTTCTTATCAAGACGGATCCATCTCTTAAGGTTTATATTCCTCTGTTTCTTCTTTTCTGTGTTGGACGGATGTCTCACTCTCACACGTCTTCCTCTCCTCCCTAACCTCAAAACATTCAGCAGCAGTCTCTCTCTATTCTTCACAGAAATGGGACTTTTCTCTTGTCGTGTTCTTTCAAACTCTCTCTCTCTCTCTTGTGATATCCGAAAGTTTCAGTGCACAAAGGTCGTTTGAGTCACTCCCCTTTGGTTACAGACACTTCTATCAATGGTGAAAGGAGGAAAGACGGTGTGACGTTCCTCAGACCTTACACCCTGAAGCAGACCAAACGAGAAAGACCAGTGAGGTGAGATAATTGTGAACTGACTCTTTCTGTCTGCCCATTTTTTTTCGTTTTGCCCTCCCTTCCTTCCTGTTTCTCTCTCTCCATCTCCCTGACTTACACATGTGCACACACGCCCTCTTTCTTCCCACCATGACCCATGAGTGGTAATTACGGGGCATTTTTAGTGCACAGCTTCTATATATGTCCCTCGAATGAAAGAAAAAGGAAAACCCCAGGGATGACCTTTGAAACAACCAGTCTTTTAGATTCTTTATAGGTTTTATGTATGGACAGCTCCTTATCATTGGTGTAGGAATATAATATAATTAACTTCTAGTATGACACTAGAGTTTATTACTGTAAATATTATTTATCTTATTTTTACCTCATTTTAGTTTATCTTATTTTACCTTATTCTGGTTGTATTGCAACGCGGGACGGAGACAAACGCAATTTCGATTCCACTGTATGTCTGGCATATTTTGAAATTAACAATAAAGTGGACTTTGACTTTGACTTTGACACTGGCACTGTTCTGGAGACTTAATAATGCTTCTCTGCAGTTATTTTTAATCATTAGTTTCTGATTTTAAGCTTTGTTATTTCCAAATACAACATGATTTTGTAAACAAATGCATTATTATTTATTATTATTATTATTATACGAAACAACAACTTCTACTTGCTCAGCTTATTTAGAAAAAACAAATATTGTTATTAAATGTGTCTAACATGCAGCTGTAAACATGTCAACGTATGTGGCCATTGCGCATGCGTTGAGTCAAAACCACACCCCTTCTTAGTTTCTGCCCCTCTGATTCGTCAGCACCGCGGAAGCGGGTAATGGCGGCGTAAACAACACTAAGGTTCGAAAGAGAAGCTCCTTCTACCGAGCCGATATGGAAATCAAAACTAAAATACACATGAAACTCAAACAGAAAATATTTTAAGTACAAGACCGATCTCTCGGCGTTTGAAGTATTACATCCCCTGGTTTTCTTGGTGCAGTAAGCCGCTGGTTTAAGTCTGCTAACTAAAACAAGTATCAGGAGAAATGGATTGCGTCGTTACGGGAGGAAACGTGAAAGGTATCTAAACGTGTTGTGCTGAACCGGGCTCGTCTTTAACAAGAACATGAGTATCAAAAGGCTAAGCTGATAACATTAATAATGTTGTTTCTGTTTCTGTACGTACCGTCCAGTACTGGCCAAAGCCATCCAGTCTCTGTCTCGTATCGGTGATGAGCTGTATGTGGAGCCTCAGGAGGATGGGGTGAGCTGCTTTGTCAAATGCACACACATTTCTTCCTGCCATGCGTGCAGACTTGTTGCTTCCTGTCAGTTCAGTCTTTGCGTCAATGATAAATACTCTTTTTTTTTTTGTATCTCTCTTGTAGCTGGCCCTGCGGTCTGTGAACTCTTCTCGGTCGGCATATGCATGCTTCCTGTTTGCACCTCTCTTCTTCAGCAGGTGCGAAAAGTGTGCGTGTGTTTAAATGGCACAGTGTGTGTGTGTGTGTGCGTGTGTGTGCGTGCGTGCGTGTGCGCTGAGCGACACATTTTTTTGCGTGCTTGTTGAGCTGAAACTCAAACTTGGCTTTGTCATTCTGATGCAGGTACTCTATCCCAAGTGGGCCTGCCTTCCGCTGCAAGATGGCAATAAAGGTACACGAAGAGGAGGAGATTATAAAATAGTTCATGTCTCATACTCAGTGCATTCACATGAAAGTTAATTAGCCGTCATTACAAATTACATACATTATATTAATATGTTCTGCATGTATTAATTACTTATTTGTTCAATTCAATTCAATTCAAAAAACTTTATTTGTCCCCGGAGGGCAATTCAAAGGCACACAGAGCAGTAAATTAACAACAGTGCAAGTAAACGAAACTTTTTAACCTAAATAGAAAGTGTCAATTTAAATACAACTTAAAGCTTAAACTTAACTTAAGAATACAAAATATAAAGGAGTAGATATAAGTGGACAGTGATCGGACTAACAGATGTAAACAGATGTAAACAGAACTATGTGCAGTAAACGAGAAATAAATATATATATACAGAGCTATGTGCAAGTAGGCAAATACTAAATTATAAGTTATAAGGTGCATGGTGAATAATGGAACAACAGAAACTAATATATACAATATAGCTGTAAAGGTGAAAATGAGATAAATAAAGTGGCCGTAGTGCAATGATGGATAAGAAACAACAGGACCTTTACCTTTATGGTTATGTGCTCACTAGTTTTCCAAAAGTCTCAGTCACAGCAGTATATGATATTAGGTTAACAACTAAATAAGGTCAAGTGTTAGGTTTGTGGTTACAGTGATATACAATATATTAGAGATCTGAAGCACAACAATTTACAAAAATTTACCTTGTTTTTATCTTTATATTCATTTAGCAAACTTTAGTATAAAAAGTATTTTGTGCTCAGTCATAATTTCAGGAGGTAGAGCAGTTTTATGATTACCTGTAAGTGCGATTGGAAACGTTGAAGGTGTAAATATGAGAGTTTAGAAGTATTTTTTATTTGACTTAGATTTGAAAAAAAAAAAGTTTTTCTCATAGCAGTTTCATTGTATTATATTAGCGATATATTCAGTGTGAATATATATTTTTAGATCATATCAACATAGTCATGGTACTTGTGGGGTTTTTCCCCTTCCCATGTTCCTCTTGGCGTGAGCCAGAGCGTGCAGGCCGTGTTCAGGTCTCTGGCGTCTCTGGAGAAGACAGTGGAAAAGTGTCACATCGAGCTGGATGAGCAGAAGAACCGCCTCACCTTCACTCTGCACTGCAAACATGGTATACGTGTTCCACTTCCTTTCTAGACGGTTCACAATGTTTTACAAGGATCACAGAGGATAACATTTTTCTACAATGACACACTTTATTTTAGCGTAGCACATCGTACATTCATTGCATTTTATTCCATGTGCTTTAGTGTTGGTATTTTTCTCTGCAGGTCTCCTGAAGACACATAACCTGTCTTTCCAGGACAGCGAAAGCTTACAAGCAGTGTTTGATAAAGACAGCTATGCCAATGAATTCAGGTCCCATCCCAGGTCTGTAAATATTTCTTCATTCTACTTTAAAAGAGAGATACAGTCTTCTTTCAGCCTTGATAACTTACAAATATTTGTACTGGTTTCTATTGTGCACTATGGGTACCATTTGTTATGTTCTTACTGTTGTTTATGTTCTTCTGTGTTTGGTTTAGTTTGCTTTGTTCTTGTTTTTGCTGTTTGTCAAAGCACTTTGTAAACCTGTGTTTTTAAAAGGTGCTATATAAATAAAGTTATTATTATTATTATTATTATTGTCGTGTTATTGTGTTAAAAAAAAGTAAGTGATTTATATTGCTCATGCAGGTATTTTGGACAACAGTGTGTTAAGTAATACATTTCTAATGAAGGGAAAAATAAAAAGGCTGTTTAAAGCAACATGTAGCTGGTGTTATAAAAGAGGATTATGCATTGAGGCCAGAGTTGACTCACAACTTTGGTAAACTGTCACATTGTCACAGTACTACTTTTTTTTTGGCTTCACTGTGTTCTGTCCTTCCTCGATCATTTTGCATTTTCCTTTGTTCTCAGGCTGCTGGTGGACACGGTGGTTCACTTCCCTCAGTCTGTGGATGAAGTGACTGTTTCAGTGAGCGATGAACGTATGTGGGTCAGGAACCACGTGGAGGAAGAAGCAGGTGACTTAGTAGTCTGTGATTTTCACAGTAGCACAGTCAGTTGTTCTTGCAGTTATTAATGCAAATGGATTTGTGAAACCAGTGAACCCTTATTTGCAATGTTTTAACCCTCTTTTTATTCATACAAGTCTTAATCAAGTTAGCAATATTACAGTCAGTTAGATGGACAATAGTCACTTCTTAAGGGTAAAAATAAAGTTCTTTATTTAACCCCCCTGACTTGGCTTTTTATAACAAAAGTAAAGTTTTGTAATAAATTGTGCAAAATAAGAAAAAGGACTGAATTGCCCAGTGGTGCCTCTGTGTGGTAAATATCACTGTACTGTTATTGCTACTGTTAAATATATAGGACGTTTCTCAAACCCTGCAAGCTAGCAGCCATATTATTTACAAAGTCGATTCAAAAACACGAGTTGACACTTGTCTTTGTTTTCTTCCCGTGTCACTCTCAGAACAGTCCAAGGCCATGCTGACAGAGCTGTGTTTGGCTTCAGACGAGTTTGACCATTTTGCTGTTAAAGCTCACAACAGCGTCACCTTTTGTCTGAAGGAGTTGCGGGTAAGACGGATAATGAAGGGAGGGAGAACCGGGCAACAACAACAACAACAAAATTCTAGAGAATTAGTCCAGATGGGAGAGAGGTACTAGAGAGGGAGAGAAGGTATTTGAGGGAAAGAGACAGACTGCACTGACAGGCACAGTTGAAGTGGTTAAGGTTTTCTTTAGAACAAAATGTCTTGCTTTGAAACACTCAACAAGGAGGTTTCATATTGTCATTTCCCTCTCAGGGTTTGTTGGTGTTTGCAGAGTCGACTGGTCTCCCTATTTCTATGTACTTTGATGAGCCAGGCAGGTAAGCAAGCCTATATACAAATGTCAGGTCATCACATGCTTCATTCAGTGTTATTTTCACTATCCATAAATCTTCCAATTATGCTCAAGATTAATTAAATATATGTTGAGCCTAAAGCAACAACATGACTTGAGCCTAAAGCAACATCCTCAGATTGATGTTATTGTCCAACCAACTGTGAAAAAAAGTTAAAAACAAAAAAAAAGTTATAGCTCATATATAAATGTATTATCAAAAATGTTTGATAATTGTGTGTGTCTGTGTGTGTTTGTGTCAGCCCTGTGGTGCTTTCAGTAACAGACAACGTCCTGGAGGGAAACTTTGTGTTGGCAACACTTTCTGAGGACTCCAACCATTGTAAAAACAACACGAGAAGGTAACACTCAAAACACAATTAAATGTGTAAACAACGCATGAAAAAAAGGTGACATTTCCCTTATGCGGGATGGTATTAAAGTATTTATTTTAGGTCAGTTGTCAGCAGACTTTAGGGTTAGCAGGAGCTGTGAGCACTGGCAAAGCAAACCTCAAGTATTTTGACTTCCTTACTTAAGGTTTCTTCACCTCTCAGGACTTCACACAGGAAATCCCAATCATTTTCACTGCAGCGAGGCCACCTGGTGGACGAAATAAGTTAATAAGTTTGAGTGCAAATGTAGCTGACTGCAAGGTGCAGGACTATTTATTCAAGTCATTATATTGAGACAAATGATGATCTAGTTTTCCATAACAATATGATTTTTTTTATTTTCAGCACTTTTTCAATCTTCTCACTTTACATCAATGCAGCACAAGTTTAGGAATAGATCAAGCGATGGTGTTGATAGAAAGTGTTGCAAAACTACATCTGTAAAACCTCTAAATTTTAACAGCAACAGAGTGTTTTTTAAATTATCCTGAACCTTTGACATTTCCAATCATCATGAATCTTTTCATTATAATGTTGAATGTATGAAGAGGAGCAACAAAGTCACACTGATATTGAATTCATATTACTGAAAGGCAGGCGGGGGGGGGGGGGGTTGAAGGAACTTAAATGATAGTGTGCTGTCAGTGTCAGTGAATCTCATCATGCAGGTGGAGAGACATTTGTTCCCCTTTGACTTCCTCATTCTTTTGACCTTTGTCTTGCAACTATCCGTGCCACTACTCAGAGCGCACACACAGCCGCCGCCCCTCCTGATGACTTCATGAATGACGACATGGACTCGTATATCATTGCCATGGATACCAGCATGGCGCCAGGTCCCTCAACTACAGGTCCACCCACTGCCCCCTTCCACAAGTCCACATGTTCAAAACAGCTGGCTGCAGCTAATCACAGGCCGAGACTACACAGTGAGGAGGAGGAGGAAGAAGAAGAAACAGAAGATCTGGACAGACCGCCAAATAAGAAGGTACAGTTAACATTTAGATATATTTCCAGATTAACAGATATCAGTAGCATCATATGTCATTGTTTTTTTTAAGTAGTTTCAAATCTTTATTAACCAAGAGAATGATTCATCCTCTGTTCATGGACACGTGACAGATTACAATACATTATAAAACACCCAACCATGATATTTAAAAATCTTAACACAAGACATACTGATCAAAAGACAAGTCCATCTGAGATCTGTGACTAAAGAGAATGGTTGGATTTTTTTCTCAAAAACACATGTCACCCAAGAAATCACTGTGTTTAAATGAGTGGGTTTTTTTTTTAGCCCCGCCCCTTCTCCACCCCTGGTTTCCTGTTTTGATCTTAATCAACACATATTTCCTATTGAAGACTCACCTCCAGGGCTTATAAACGACTGCATTGTGTGTTTGCATGTCATGATATTAAATGATATATTGAAAATGATTAGAAGATATATTCAAAAAAAATATTGACCTCTTATGTAACACAGTCTGAGATTTGAGAGTCGTCTCCTAACTTTTTATCTAATTGTGAAAACGCTCGCTACGTGAGTCCAGAAGTAAAGGGATTGCATATCAAATCTCAAATATTTGTGTTCTTCTGGAACATTATATCAGGACTAATCTGAAGTAAACAACTGGCAGCAGATAACTAAATAAATTACGTTTTTGTTTTTTGTGTGTTTTCATTTCAAACTGGGGATCCCAATGTTGTATCAGCTTATACAGTGTTTCAGTTTAAAAACATAGGTAGCTCCATGCATTCGTCTGTAGTCAGTTTTCTTGTTTTTCTGTGTCTTATGTTATCCAATATAACAGTCATGTCTTCATTTGTCTTTTCTTTTACCCTTTAAATACTTCAGTTTAATTTCAAATCTGTATGGAGGAAACAAGGATCATTCTGTATTGTGAAAAGTAACATCAGACTTTCACAAACAACACTTGAGTAGCTTTGTAAAAGAAGAAGACGTAGCAGCTATGCAGAGAGTTAAAGTAGCTGTAGAACTTGTTCATGAAATACCTCAAAGCAGCTCACACTTCAGCTCCTTCAATACTGGCAGTTGAGAACAGTGGCTGTCAGACAATATTAGTTTCACATTGATTAGTGGTGCAACACATCACAAATGTCAAAGTTCTGTCGGAGCTCTGATTTGTTGTGGATTGGATCGTTTTTTAAATTGGCCAAAACATTTTTTTTTTGATTATATAAGTTTTCGCTACAGATTGTTACACCTCCAATAATTACAACAAGAAGATGATAAACCTGATCTTTTGTATTTAGAATGCTTTTCGAAGGTTTGAGTAGCCAGATATATAAAAAAGCGTCATCAGTTGTTAAAATATACTCTCACGCTTCGTCTGTGTTTTCTCTTCCAGTTCTGTTCCCTGTTCTTTGGATCGGTGCTTCCCCCATCTTCTCAGATGACGACTCAACCGGTGTCGAGTCAGGAAGTGTTAGCCAGTGACAGTGAAGATGACTCTCATGCAGAGTGACAGTGGACTGAAGAATGAGAGGACAGAGATGGACTTTTGTAAAAAAAAAAAAAAGAGTGAATGTGTTCGTACCTGCAGCACCAGGAAGGAAAAGGACATGCCCAAACATTATTTTCCATCTTTACAGGCCTGTACAAACGAGTGCATGGTTCTCGTTCTTTTACATGGGGGATAAATCACAAAACAGAGAACAGGAAGCTCACCACTTTTTATTGGACTATAATGTTTCAGGTGGATTATGTGAAACTGGAAACGATGCACTTCCTGTTTATTTTCATTTAGAGTTTGTTCAGAAGTGATCAACGTGCCTCTTACAAATAAAGAGAAAACATAACTTTCAAAGTTTTAAAACTTATTTATTTATTTACATGTCAAGAAGTTCAAGTATCAAAGAATTAGGATGATGAATCTCTGAACATCAACCAATGTGTCGTCCATTCTGCAAAAAAAAACAAAAAAAACTTTCTCGTCACTTCAGATTTGAAAACAAACTTTAAAAAATGTCCTGTCAAAAGTAAGATTGAGCGTAAGGAGAAGTACATCCGAGCGCCTCTGATCCAGTCTTTGCAGGTTGAGCTTCATCAGTGCTCCCCTTTTTTCTGTGAACCTGGGAACTTTTTCCACTCGTCTTTGGTCTCCTCCTTTCTCGCTCCCTCTCTTTTTCCAGCTCCCTCTCTCTCTTCTTTCTCAGCCTTTCCTCCTCTTTCTCCTTCCTCTCCTGCTCCCTCCGCCGCCTCCTCCTTTCCCTGGAGCTTAGATTCTCCAGATCCTCATCTTTAACCAGTTTCCCCATCTCTGTGCCATCGCTAAAGTCCTGAATTAGGATTTTGGGCACTTGTATTTTTGGTGTCCTTTTTGCCTTGGCCTTGTTTGACTGCTCTCCTTTAAGTCTGCGGAAGAGACCAAAACGTTTAGGGGGGTCGGACGGCTGCCGTCCCTCCTGGGCGTAAGCCCCCTTAGAAACTTCTGCAGGCAGTGACGAGGTGACTTCTTGGGGTTGTGTTGGGTTTACAGCTATCGGATTGGGTTTTGATTCAGCGGGTTGGACTTCTTGGTGATTGGTTATTGATTGTGACTGGTTGGTTTTCTGTGGCATGACGAAGAGATCTTCAGACAGCCTACGCCCCAACCAGGACCTACGCGAGACAGATGACTTGAAGACGTTTAAATCACCAGAAGACTTACTGTTGTGACGCTCACAGGCTTGTGTCTGGCCGCTGTGACTCGGCTCAGTCTCGTCTTTGGCAACATCTCTGTCTTGGATTTGAAGGTTCCTACCAGAGTCTGTAGAACCAAAGACATCGTCCCCTCCTGCTGTGTTTTCCTCAACATTTTCTATACTTTCTTCCTCCATAGAGACACAGACTGGTTCTTCAGGTGCAGGTTCCTCCGAAGATTTATTGTCCGATGGACTTGTTTTCTCATCGACCTCAACTGTGAGATGAACCTTTTCAGCATTTGTTTGAGGATTTTCTATACTTTCTTCCTCCTTAGAGACACAGACAGGTTCTTCAGGTGAAGGTTCCTCCAAAGATTTATTGTCCGATGGACTTGTTTTCTCATCAACCTCAACTGTGAGATGAACCTTTTCAGCATTTGTTTGAGGATTTTCTATACTTTCTTCCTCCATAGAGACACAGACCGGTTCTTCAGGTGCAGGTTCCTCCAAAGATTTATTGTCCGATGGACTTGTTTTCTCATCAACCTCAACTGTGAGATGAACCTTTTCAGCATTTGTTTGAGGATTTTCTATACTTTCTTCCTCCTTAGAGACACAGACTGGTTCTTCAGGTGAAGGTTCCTCCAAAGATTTATTGTCCGATGGACTTGTTTTCTCATCAACCTCAACTGTGAGATGAACCTTTTCAGCATTTGTTTGAGCTCTTAAGAAGTCAGCACACTCCTCATTCATTCGACTGTCTGCTGTTGTTTCCTCTGCTTGTGTTTGATCATTATCAAGCTTTTCCTCCGAGTCTGAAGCGGAAATTTCTTCTTTTGTATGTTCACACGCAATAGGGTCACACTCTTTCTCTGAACTATCAGCAAATGCTTCACCTGTGTCTGTCACTGTGTCATTATTGGCTGCTGTTTTCTCTTCAGTGTCTGAATTAGCCTCTAACTCAGTGCCTTCTTTTGAATCGATGCATTCAGGTAAACAAGAATTAATGATGCTGTTTCTGTTTCTGAATCTATTTGTTCTGAATTTGTTGTTTCTACTCTTTCTGGATTATATGCTAGCCCACCAGTTTCTGTCTCTGCATGAGAGCAGGACTCTTCGTTTACGTCTTCTTCTGCTAATAACTCAATGCAGAGGTGTTTTCCTTGAAATGCATCTTCCTGCGAGCTGTTTTCCTTCTCTGTGATTCCCTCTTGTTGTTGATGTATCTCCGTCTCAAAAACAGGATCCTTAACAGTTTGAGCTTCGTCTCCACTGTCTGTCTCCGAGCCTGGGCTTGTCTCATTTGTTGTTTCAGAAACTTCTGTGACTCTTCCCGCCTTCATCTGTTGCACATCTTCAGTTTCTGAGCTCTCCTCTGGTTTCATGTCAGACTGAATCATCTGTTCTTCACTTAGATCTGCACTTCCTCCTGACTCCACCTCTGTGTTTGACTCTGCAACATCATCTTTCTGTATCTCCGTCTTATTATCTTCCACAGCAGCTGGTTGTTCACTCTCTGCTGTTTGTTTTGCTGTCTCATTGTTTTCCTCTTTTACTTCAGTTTCTTGGTGTGCGCTTCTGTGACACTGCTGATCGTGGGGCCTGTCTTCAGAGGGGTTAAGAATATTTCCAGCACTCTGGTGTTTTGCTGGACTTCTTGGTGGTGCTCCTGTTTGTTCTAGAAGCTGTTTGCTTTGCTCTGTCTCTCTGACGTGACTTTTCTCCTCTTCATTGATTCTCTCTCCCGAGTGTTCAGCCTGTTCTTTAAATATCACTGTTTCTTCTTCATGCTCGGCTGGTATGTTTTGGATTATGTCAATTTTTTCAGGTACTTCCAAAAGTTCTTTTTGTGCAGTTTGTCCTCTTAGATTGGGCTCACTTTGTTTTTTGCATTCAGCTGGAACTATGTCTTCGTCCTCCTCCTCCTGAACCTCTTTCACTTTCTTGAAGTGTAACTCAGACCAGCTCCTGCAGTCCTCCTTTGCTCCCATCGAGAGATGCCTCACAACTTTAGCACCGCCTTCCCACTCTCTTGTGTTGCCTTTCCCGCCTTTCTTCCACTTCTGAAGCAAAGAAGGAGACAGGGAGAGAGTGGAGGCCGAGCGAGCCAGAGGGAGAGACAGGTTCCCTTTCTCTCTCTCTCTCTTGTCCTGTTCTTCCTCTGTGTGTTGAGCCTGAGCCCACGCCATACGGTATCCGTGGCAGCGACCCCTGGGGTCGAAGGATGATGAGGGTCTGTCCTTCCTCCACTTTACTAACTGCTTCTCAGTTTGTTTCTCCAGATCTTTGGCTGATAGCTGCACTGAGCACACCTGAGAAGGAAAGAAAAACACTGATTTCACTTATGTTATATTAAAAAAACTGTCTCATCCACACAGACATGTTCACATTATTGTGTGTCACCAAATTTGAGTTTTTCCCATGTGTACTACTACTACTACTCGGGGTTCAGTAAAAAACACAAGTTGTATTGTTTGATCGGGATTTTTTGATGTGATATCTGTCATATAAACATCAAGAAAAAGTGTAATTGTTGTGCATGGAATTATACAAATCTCCTTTGCCTGCATGTCAACAGAATAACAGTATCTCCATAACAACACTACTGGAGTCTACTATTATGTAATGTTCAGGCACAGACAGTAACTAAACCTTTAATAGTCATGTATTTAAAAATCAATTTAGTGTTTATCCTTAGTAACATGAGAAAAGATGTTTGCCCTGCAGTAGCTAGCTAGTTAAGTTCTTACCTCTGCTATAAAGGTGTCATCTTCCTCCTGGATCTGATCCCTGACTCCCCTCAGCCTCTCCAGAGTCTCCATCTGGCCATCACATTGCCTTCTCTGCTCGGCCCGGCCCAGCACCCGACGCACTAGCACCACCGCCACTTGGAGCAGCACCCGCACGCCTGCAGAGACCAGGAGACAACAGGTGCCAGGTGTTTCACATCATCAAATTATGTAAATGACTTCAAAATCATTCATATATTTAAATTGCTGCTCTAAAATCAACTCAATTTAAACTTAAATATGCACTTGAAAGATTTTGTTCCTTTGTTTTAGGGAAACATATCAGTGACTTACCAAAGCAGAAGAAGAGGTCCCAAACTCGCAGCAGCGTGTTGAAGGGCAGGTGGCGTGTGAAGAGACACATCAGCCAATCTGTGGTGAACATGAGCGGCTCCACGCCGTGCTGCTGCAGGTGTTTATGTGCAGCTGGACACGTCCTTTTCAAGACCCAGGTTAGCATGGCAGCGTCAAACAGGACTCCCTCCTAAAGAAGTGCAAATGTCAAAAAAAACACAGCTTCAGACATTATTGTGCTTCGCTGATCTGTCGTTTTATAATGAATAAAGTTCCCTTTAATAAATGATATACAGCACTCTCGCACTTGAAACAGGATAAACAGGTCTTTCCCTGATGTATGATGTTGTAATGACAGATGTTTTAAAAACTATAAAGATATGAACCAATAATGCATTTATTTTTAGAAGCTTTATTCTGCATTGACTTTATTATTTTGAGAGCTTCTTTTCTTAATCATGAATAAATTACATTTCTATAAACTTCTGAGAAAAGTTTAGAAAGTTAAAGCTCTGTGAAAAGAAGGATTACTGAGGTCCACGCTGTGAAATAGGCTTGTTTGAGTGGGTGATGCTTTTTGCCTTAAGGCAAGTTCTTGGTGAAATTCATATCACAAATTAAAAGATACTAGGGTCCAATGTCAAGCCTCCATGTATATAACCTGTGTATGACAGGGGTATACATGTAAGTGCTATGTCATCGACATTGTGCCTGCATTCGACATACAGTATGTGTCGGTCCTCACCAGCAGCGGGCTGTAGTACCCCGGCAGGTACCGCTCACTGATCTGCACCAAACACCAGAATGCCTCCTGCCAGGGTCACATGAGATGAGATGCATTACAAACTGACACTTGGTCGTCAACAACAACAACAGCACATTTATTTTTCAGACTAATAGAAGTATATCAAATTATGTCAGTTAACCCTTGTTATTATGCATCTCAAGCAAAGTTTGTGAAAGAGATTTTGAAATGGGTTGCAGCTTTTTTATTGGACAGAAAGCTGCACTGTGTTATTGGTCTCTACCTCAGCTGGCATGTTCATGAGCAGCACGGCAGCCACAGGCCCCTGTGCCTGGCAGTAACCCTCCTCTGGTTGGTACTGAGTGTAAGCTTTCAACACCCGAAATAAACCACGCTGCCTGCAGACACACAAACACAAACCACACCTTTAAACATCAGGATGTTTAGATAAAAACAGCCTTTTCATTGTAATTTGATTTAAAATCCTTGCCAACAAAAACATTAAGACAGTAGGAATATGATGATTTAGTGGTTCAGGTACACTAAAGCATAAAGAAGCATCAGGACTTTTCTGTGGCCTTCAGCTTGTTTGAGGAAAAAACAGGGTTTCCTACCCATGTCCATCCTTAGAGAGGAACATTTCATGGAAAGGAAACTGTCGGTCCAGGTCTCTCTCGATCACATCCACCCAGCTCTGCAGAGCAGGCTGTGAGTCCAGAGACTAACACAGACACAAAAACAAGGTTTAAATCGGTTATATGCAGCTTTACCCATTTTTCTCATGACCTATCTGTGCTAGTATCAGTAATCCACTCTGCCATATTGCACAAAGATAAGCTGATTTAGGCTTAGTGCTTCATTTCAGTATTTTAATGTATTTGTTGTTTAGACAGGAAGTATGTATAAAAGGTGTAAAAAAAGATGAAATGATTAGCTAAACAGAAAGGGAAAAGTATTCACAGTTCAGAAGCTTGAGCACATTGTTAATCAGATTTGCTGGATACCTGAGACATAAAAGTGACTCATTACAAGTGAACATGATACCATGACAACACTTTCTTTACACTGAGTGAATGGAGAAACAACATCGTTGGACTGCACATCTGTGGTCGTAGTTGCTGATCTGAAAACATTCACCACAGTGACAGCGTGCAGGTTTCTTGCCTTGTAGAGAGTTTCATTTTGTTTCATCATGTCAGTTGCTCCACACAGTAGAGGCCAGCACTTTGCTCGGAGAGAGGCCGGGATGCCTTTCTGACACTGCACTCTGACCTAATGTGATGACACAGAATCACGTCACAGAAAAGATACTTCATCCTTCATTTAGCTTAAATGTGTATTTCTGCTTAAAAAAAACACCTTATTAGTCTTCTTCAACAAGATGTGATCCCATTGGCTGATGATGCTTATCCATTTGGCCTCCCTCTGCCTGACCAGCCCAGGAGGTGGGCCCACACACCTGACACATAAAACAACAAACAAAACACCAGGTAAGACAAATTTGTGTTCAGTGGACACTGTACAGTACATAACTGTGGTTAAAATAAGACCTTCAAGTTGCTATGCAGAGTTGATACATGCACATGTGTGTGTTTTCATTGTATAATGCAGTGCTCTGAAATTCAAGACAGGAAACAGGAAAACCACACGCTAGCAGTTTAGTCTCCATGGCAACAGGTCAGGATGTTATCAATGGGGAGAGGTTAAAGAAGGCAGGTAGAAGTAAGTGTTGCTGGTCTTGTGCTGAATATCAACCAGTTGATTTATTTAACTGCCTTTTTGTGTCATTGTGATAAATATAATGTTATAGTTAATTCATGTTTATGTTTTATCATTTTTACATCATTATAACGTCCCCATTATGACTGTGCACACTGTGTCTACTAATGTCATATAGTGTGTTTTGTATCTTGAACAGTAGAGTTAATTTGGGACTTTAAACTGACCTAACAGTGCCTAAAGCTCTTTCTCATTCTTCATTTAGATCCATTCACAAAGAATATCTCTTTACAACAGAGAAGTAGTTTTGATGAGGACCCTTGAAAGATAGTGCACTTGAATAGCTCTGCCTACATGTTAATACATTTTATGCACATGGTTAAGGAGATTTTGTTTGATGTTACGCCATGTAAGCTCTCACTCTGACGTACAAATGTTATTGTCTTTGCAAACAAAGATTTCTTGTTTACTATGTTTCTCTTGTTTTTCCCATGCGGTAGATTTAAACTGTGTCGTTTATTCTCAAATGGTTTGGAAGCTGCAGCACAAGCACTATGTACTTACTGTCTTTTGACAGTAATTTGTTAGCTGCCAACCTCTTTTTTGGCCTCATAAAGCTTGTAAAAAAGAAAAGTGGTCCGACTCCTCAGAGACATTGTCCTTTAATAACTACTGGTATGTTTTGATTTTATCCCAGGGCGGCTGTGGCTCAGTTGGTAGAGTCTCAACCGGAAGGTCAGGGTTCGATCCCCAGCTGGGCAACATGTCCGATGTGTCCTTGGGACACTTAACGCCGAATTGCTCCCGCTGCTTCAGTGAATGGGATTAGTTACTTCTGATGGATGATACTACATAGCGATCACTATCATCAGTGTTTGAAAGGGTGGGTGGGACATGCAGTGTAAATGTGCTTTGAGTAGTCGGAAGACTAGAAAAGCGCTTTATAAGCTCAAGTTAATTTAGCATTTACCATCCCTTAAAAATGCTGAATATTTTAACTTTAACCTTAAGGACGAAAATTCACTCTTTGGCTAAGACGCTCATGTCGTCTGTAAGACTGTGATGGTAGGTGATAAAGGCTCACAAACATGACTTAATTCTATGGGGTCGGAAGCCATACATATAAACATACACTGAAAAAATCTTTACACAATACAATCAAATTTGTAGGCTTAATATTGACTAAAATGGTAAATGTATAACTTAATAATGTACACTATATGTGTGTCTGTGTGTGTTTGTTTTATTAATTAAAGGAAATATCAAAGTCTCTGTTATTAACAAACAGGACCTCTGTGATTTTTTTTGTGCTGTAAACCTAAATCAGGCATTTTCTGTTTCTCTGGATAAAGCAAATATAAACCTATGATTTTCAGAGCTTTGGGTGTAGTTCATTAATCCCAACAAATAACTCACAACTCATTCGTCTTTTACTAAACTTGTCTCTAATAGATACTTGTTTTAAAGCATTAAAACTAAGACACAGTATAGGCCTACCTGTGACAAGTTTAATAAGGGAACAGAAACGGTTCACAAGCACAAATGTGGAACTGCTCACCCAGCTGTGGATCCATTGGTCAAAATGAATCCAAACCGGTCTGTCTCAGGTTCCAGGCTAACCTCTGATCCTTCATCAGATCCAGAGCTGGCCTCTACACTGATCTTCTGGGTTGGACTGGATGGACTGAACATCTTAATAAAAGAGAGGAGGGGGCTGTGTGATCTACCATTATGATGTTAAGCAGAAATGCAGTCCTTTCTCGGGCAGGCTACTGATGTGACTTAACAAAAACACCGCTCAAAATGGAGCAAGTGGCGGAAAACAAAGTATTAGGTCCTACTGCTGAATGAATATATTGCTGAATAAAAACGTTGTTAGGCTATAGGATACTTTACGACATTATCAATATAAAGTCTTCTCTGTCTTGGTTGAGTGAGGTCAAGTTTGTTGGCTATTTTTTAACATAACAGTGCCAACTTATCCTTTCCAGAAACAAAGAACAGGACAGTTTTTCAACATGTTAAAACTTAAGTTAAAATAGTTAAAGACTAGTTACCTTTTACATTTCCGTCATGTTTGATCTCTGGTTGCGGGGAGAAGTGTGAGATCCTCCAGCGATGAACTTCCTCTCTCTCGCTCTCTCTCTCTCTCTCTCTCTCTCTCTCTCTCTCTCTCAAATCTGATTAATCAGAGATGAATGTCATCAGAGAGGGCGACAAATAATAATATCCGCTCATTTGTCCTTTAAAGAATTTGCTCTTGCCTGGACAATGTGTATAATGTTTAAGCTTACTCTATGCAATGATACGTCCCCATATGCCATTTGAATAAACGACTAATTTACAAAAAAAAAAAAGAGTGCTTTTTTATTTTTGCGATCACCTTACTGAGATTGCAAAATTACGAGCGGCACTTGAACGCAATTTAATTCAATTGCGCAGTTCAGGGACCGATATCTGCGTGTTGTCAGCTTAGACTGCAGGTTGTCAGTCTGTGGTCGTATCTCTCATCAAAGTGTGTGAAAGAGGTAAGTGTTGTAGAAATTGTAGGGATTAAGTAGTCATTAATAATAAATGAGCAGGAGACACTCTTGTCATGGGGTTAGGGCTATATCAGGAAGAGTTTCTCAGGATAACTTCGCCATCCTCGGAAATAAATGTTTTTGTTTTTTTTTTACCTCGGATATACGACAATTTAGCCTTAGTAAATTTAGTTTATTCTATTGGTTATTAAACTGTCCTAAATGTAAAACTTTTTTGGTTAAACTTGGTGAGCGACTGTTATTTCATTTTTTAAAGAGGCGTTTACGTGGTATCTGAAAGATCGTAAATATAGGTTGGCATGTTTAGCCGAAGTGGTTGCCAACTTGCCTTTAAGCCGGTTACCGTTTTTCCGAGGAAACACTTGCTACCTTACACACTTATTATTTCGGTTCTTCCGCCTGGTAGCTATTTCAATCTTGCGTCATATGTCACACGGCAGGCTACTTGTTTGGTCCGGGATGTTATGTTGTTCCGTTTTTCCCTTTCTGCCGGCACGCCGTGAATGTAGCATACCGCTGACGCAAGAGGGATTTAGGGCACATTGTTAGGCCTAATGGATACAGGTGCCACCTCCCTAATTCTACTCTTGTTTCAGTGATGAGAGATTTATGTGTAACAACAATAGAGATTTCCCCTAACTTCTGTATGCGTTTTAGTTCGTCAAAAAAGTTTTCGCTTGGTTCGTATACAACTTAAACTCTTCTCTCTGCTCAGATGTCTGCTGCTCTGAGTCTGCGTTTGCTCCACTGCTACTCAAATCCAGGTACTCCTGAAGCAGATATCACACAATACTCTCTGTATGCACAAAAGGAGTATTTGTCAATTCATATTTGAATGTATTTTCAGGAACTTTTGGATACGGTCCCGGCGTCATAAGGTCTTTCAGTATCAGTGTGCAGAAACATGGCTACAGTAAGTTTTGCTTTTAAACTATTCAGTGATGTTCATATGAGGCATCCTCGGTAGATTGACCACATGTTTGACATTGTCTAACTATTGGCTCCTCTCTTATGCTCCCCTTGCAGAGTATGTAAATGCCCTGGAGGTGCCAACAGATATGAAATCCATCACTGACAGGGCTGCAACAACCCTCCTCTGGACTGAACTCTTTAGAGGTCACACATCGCATACATACATATGATAAAGTTTTTGTTGTTGTGAACAAATTTGGTGAAAAGAAAGAAGAGGGCAACTTATTTGCCATACAAACAAGTGGCATCTGTGTCTGATATATATCCCTCCTTGGAACTCCAGAAAATAATAAAACATAAACATTTGTCAAATTGTTGCAGGTTCCTTTTGATGAGTACTCAATAGTACGCCAGATAAGCTGAAAATAGTTGTCCTGACTTAGTTTAATATTATGAGAGGGAGGAAATCACAAAGCATCAGACGAACACTTTATATTGTAGAGAGAGAGAAGATTCAAATCTCATAGTGATCAGGTAGCAGCAGCAGCACAATACAAACAAGCCAATGCATTTAATATCCTTATTTTTCCATTTTAAATAATACTCCAGTATTCCCTCCAAAAAAAGTCAAAAGTCTATGCTCTATGCACAACATCATGACACAAGTGACTCCCTTTTTTTTTAAAGTTACCAAATATATCTATGAGCTGTAAAATGAGCATGCAACTTTGTAATGTTATGAATTGTTGAAACACTGTATTTGTGGTGTCTTATCAACCTATGAGGGTTGGGCATGATCCCTCAATAAAATCAATCAATCAATCAATCAATCAATCAATCAATCAATCAATCAATCAATCAATCAATCAATCAAACAATCAATCAATCAATCAATCAATCAATCAAACAATCAAACAATTAATCAATCAATCAATCAATCAATCAACCTGTTTTTGAGATTTAGTCTTGATTGTAAATATGAAAGCTTAAGGCTGTGTCTCAGACAGTGTAGAGAAGGAAGCGCATCAAAAGTCTACTCATTGCATTGTTGTTTTTGTTCCTTTACAATTGATGACAATAAAAATGTGCCAAATATTTTCAGGATGGCAGATTTTCTCAGACCTAATGCTCAAATGCTGTTATAATGTTGTACTGTCAAAGTAGGGAATCTAACATTACGTTAAGTGTTCTTATTATGTTGGCATGTTCAGAAAGACAAAGAATCAGAATCAGAATCAGAATCAGAATCAGAATCGGGTTTTATTGCCAATTACATTTACACATACAAGGAATTTGACTTGGTGTATTGGTGCTAAACAATTAACAAGGAAATAAAGCAGAATAGCATCAACTTAAATAATACAGTATAAGAAGCTATTACAATATATAAAATAGAATTTAAAAATGTTAAATATAAAAAATAAAAAACACAAAATGTACAAAAGGTGCAATGTAGGAGCTGTGCAGTGAACTATGAGAAAAAATCTTAGTGTGTGTAACTACTCACAGAGTGCATGTAAGGAAAATAAATGTAAAGTCCAGTGGGTGTTAATGTAACGAATAAAGAACAGTTTCAGCATTCACATTACTTTGATGTTTTACTGACTGTAGGGCTGATGAGACTCTGGGTTATGTGGGAGGACGGGGGAGGGCAGGGACATTGTTCATTAGGCTGACAGCAGAGGGGAAGAAACTGTTTTTGTGGCAAACATGGAACACTGGGCTATGTTAAAACATACTTGATAACTTGTTAGCCGCTGTTAGATATCACCTTATGTAACCACTTCCAAGCTAACTTAAGCATTTAATCATGTTACAGGTTACAATAGGAAAGGCGTAAATTCCTAGCTCATTGTAATATTAGCTTTGAACAAGCTTGGGCCAAACCTGGACCACAGTTGAGACGTCAGAAAAACAAACACTTTGTGAATATGTTGAATAACACAGCTGGTGTCTTTAAAGTGAGTCTTAACATATTGGGCTCTGCGACCACACCTCTCTGCAGGTTTGGGGATGACATTGAGCTACCTGTTCCGTGAACCTGCCACCATCAACTACCCGTTTGAGAAGGGTCCTCTGTCTCCTCGCTTCCGTGGAGAGCACGCCCTCCGTCGTTACCCTAGCGGAGAGGAGCGCTGCATTGCTTGTAAGCTGTGTGAGGCCATTTGCCCCGCTCAGGTAAACAAAAACTGTATTTTTTCAATAAAGATGGAGCCATTGTTTGTGGTAATCAGATAGACTCCTTGTACTATTATTTGAGTGCTATCTCTTTAAAATCATAGCGTCTCTTTCCTTGTTTCTTCTTTACAGATACAGTTCAGACGGATACATGGTAATATGAAGAAGTTGTGTCTGTCCTCTGACTTTGTTTTTGTCTCCTCTGCACCAGGCCATTACAATTGAAGCTGAGACTCGTGCTGATGGCAGCAGGAGAACTACACGCTATGACATCGATATGACCAAATGTATCTACTGTGGCTTTTGCCAGGAGGCCTGTCCTGTTGATGCCATTGTCGAGGTAAAAATGGGATAATTCTAAATACTCAATGGAGCTGAAAAATATGTAAATTAAGAAGAGTCAGCTTGTGTTTCTTTTAATTTCCTAGGAAATACAAACGGTTGATCATACAGATTGCTCACCTCAATTTAATTTCCTAAGTTTTCAAAGGGGAAATTGTCCTTTTGAGACTTATAAATGGGCATTATGCATTTTGCTTGCTATCAAAACTGAATATTTTATATCATCTATGAGGATTTAGATGCTGAATTTGTATTTTTCCCGAATCCCTCCCTCAGGGTCCAAACTTCGAGTTTTCCACAGAGACTCACGAGGAGCTGCTGTACAACAAAGAGAAGTTGCTCAACAATGGAGACCGTTGGGAGGCTGAGATAGCAGCCAACATACAGGCAGACTACCTGTACAGATAGAGTCACTATTTTATGTTTACACTGCCACCAAAGATGTGTCGTACATAAATATATATCTTATCATGCTGCTATGCATTAAAGAGATTATTTGTAGCTTTAAGGATATTCAAGAGACTTGCTTATAAAAAGTAAAGCACCTTGAAGCCTCAGATTCTGTTGTCAAACTTATTAATTAACGCACAATTCTAACTTCTTCTGGAGTCAAAATAAATGATGTTGACCTTAAAGTCTGTTAACCCATGAAGCAAATGCACTGTATGTTGTGGTGTATTTTCAGCTGCACTTTAAAAGCCTGTTATGCCTCAATATAGCGGTTAGGCAATCAATGAATATTCACATGTAATGTTGCAAAGGCTTCTAAAATACTATAATAAATGATGTTTTCAAACCTTCAAAGTTCAATCTTGTTGCATTGCTTGTGAAGTTTAAAATGTTGTAAACAAGTTGCTTAATTCAAGACTTTTTCAAAAAAATTGAGAATTCAGCTTCTAACCTAGTTATTGTGCTAAGAACCTCAGAGAGACTTTTTCTAGTGATTTGACTGTCCTTAGTGACATCAGCCTGGCATCTAGCACCACTGTTAGGAATCTAGGAGTTCTTTTTGATCAAGATATGTCTTTTAGCTCTCACATCAGGCAAGTTTCAAGAACAGCCTATTTTCACCTTCGTAATATATCCAAGATCAGGAATAACCTGTCGCAAAATGATGCAGAAAAACTAGTTCATGCATTTGTTACCTCCAGATTGGATTATTGTAACTCTCTTTTGTCAGG